AGAGGTCTGCCTGAGCTGGTAGTATCTGATAATGGTACTAACTTTGTTGGTCCTGTCAAAGAATTGAAGGAGCTGTTCCTCCTCCTTGATGAGAGTGCAGTTAGACATTCACTTGCAAACAAGGGAATAAAATGGTGTTTCAATCCCCCTCATGCATCACATTTCGGAGGGGTGTTTGAAACCATGATAAAGGCTGCAAAGCGTGGCATCTTTGCTATCCTCAGCAGTGGTGATGTCACGATGAAGAGTTGATGACAGCTTTCACTGGAGCAGAGGCTCTTATCAACTCTCGTCCCTTAACTTACCAGTCGGCTCATCCACATGACAGTACACCTCTCACGCCAAATCACTTCTTACATGGACAGGTTGGCGGGGTGTTCGCACCTAACACAGTTGACTCAACAGATTTCAATCCACACAAACGCTGGAGAAGAGTTCAAGAGTTGGTGCGTCACTTTTGGTGTCGGTGGATGAGGGAATGGTTACCAGGTCTCAACACTAGACGAAAGTGGTTCTCTCCTCATAGGGATCTTCAAGTTGGAGATGTTGTTTAGTAATATCTCCCGATATGCCTCGTGGAAACTGGCAGCTTGGCAGAATACTGCAGATCTATCCAGGAAAAGATGGCCGCGTTCGTGTGGTTGATATTAGGACTAAACAGACAGTACTGCAAAGACCAGCAAACAAAGTATGCCCACTAGAATGGACATCATCGACTGAAACAAATAGCTATGATTAGCTTTCAGGTAGGTTTTAGTCAATGATTGACAGAGGTCAATCATGGAGGGGGGTATGGTCTGAAGACAAAACAGTTGGTACAGATCGCGAAAACGCACCATGCTTCAGCGTGCTCACCGAGAAGCATGACTTTTCACGCATCTTGGTCAGACCACACGTGCTCTTGACCACGTGGGAAACAGTCGAATTGGTCAGTTGTGTACAGGTTATGCTTGGGCTAAGACGTAATTGAGCTTAGACGTAAGTTGAGTTCAGGTTTCCCTTGAGTTCGGTTGTTTCTTGAGTTGGGTGACAGCTCGTCAAAGTAGGATTTTGATAGACTGATATAAAGAATGTATTAGTGCATCGAAATAGAAGTTCCATATAGCTAGCTGCTATAGAGCTAGATACTGTATATAGTAGACTTACGCTGCAATAGAGCCAGATAGTGTAGATAATAGAATTTAAGGTATCACATTAACTTTCTTGCCTCATTAGCATTTGCTATAAGAGATTCACGTTTAGTTCCCCATTTGTATTGTTTGAATTATTTCATCAGTTTAATCAAGAGAGTCACGTTTAGTTCCCCAAATAGCATATTTCGATACTTTTATTTTAGTTAGTTTAGTTTTCAATTCCACTGCACAACAAAGGTATTGTCATCAATGATAATGAATATAAACTGGATCAATATGCCGATGATACTGAACTATTTCTTGATGGAACTGAAGAGAGTTTGTACTCTGCTATTGACACAATGAATAAGTTTTACAAAATGTCAGGCTTGAAAATTAATTTAGACAAATCAAAAGCAATCTGGATTGGATCCAAAGCTAAATCTATGGATAACATATGTAATGATCTGAAAATTGAATGGGTAATTGGTGAATTTGATGTACTAGGTATTAAATTTACACCAGATCTTAAAGACTTATGGGTAATCAACACAAGAAACAGACTGGAGGGAATTAATAGACTCTTAGCATCTTGAAGAAAAAGAAATTTAACACTTATTGGTAAAATAACAGTAATAAAAACTCTAGCAATCTCCAAATTGGTCCATATTTTCAATTCCTTGCCAAACCCACCAGCAGAATTTATCACGTCCCTTGACAAAATGTTTTTTAAATTTATTTGGAATGACAAGAATGATAAAATAAAAAGGAATGTAATTAAAAACAACTATGAAGAAGGAGGTTTGAGAATGATTGATGCAAAAACATTTATAGAAGCTTTGAAATTATCTACTTTAAGACAGTATTTCAAAAGAGGTGATAAGAGTAATCCATGCAATATACCTTTTAAAGACATATTTAATTTTGAAGCAAATTCTGAAACTTACTTTAAGATTGAAAAGCCTTTTGGGCGTGATGTGCTAAAAGCATGGCAACTATTCCACAAAAAACATTATATTGACCCTAATGACATTAATGAAATTCTATCCCAACCATTATGGTTTAATCATAATTTAAAAAATTCATTAAACTTCATAAAGAACTGGGCAGATAAAGGGATTATAAATATTAGGGATATTTGTGATGTAACTGGATTATTGTCAATAGAATCGTTAAATGAAATATATGGTATCAAAGGCACTTTTTTAGATTATAAATATTTACTACATGTATTACCTGACTCTTGGAAAAATACTCTTAACCACAGTCATTTAATACCAGTCAGGGATTTAAATATTAACCAATGCCAGATATATCTAGTAAAAACATCTAAAGGCTGCAGGACTTTTTATGATAAACTTATTTCCAATGATATACACCCAAATATGTGTAATAAATGGCAGCTGCTATTTCCTGAAATAGACTTTGATTGGAAAAATATATTTACAGCATACAGAAAAGGATTGCAAGACACAAAACTTTTAGATTTTCAATATAGATTTCTACAAGGAGTTATTTATACAAAAAGAGAATTGCTTAAGATGAAAAAGGTTGATAGCAGTCTATGTTTTTTCTGCAATGATCTAAATGAGAGTGTTTGTCATGTGTACTGGGAATGTCAGGAGACACAAACTTTTTGGAAACACCTACAAATTTGGCTTAACAATTTATACCCTCATCCATTGCTATTATCAAAACATATGGTTTGGTACTCTACATCATAATATATTACTAAATCACATCATCACTGCAGCAAAAAGACACATTTACGTATGCAGTATTAAAAATACACATCCAAACATAACTCTATTTATAAAAACTTTGAAAGAAATATTCTTTGTGGAAAACCATATATGACAAAAGAAACAAGAAAAAATTGTGTCCAGGGACACGGATGCCCCCGCTGCTGTAGGAAGAGTTCCCTACACTGAGTACACACGTTTCGAGTCCCAATGAAACACATGTATAAGCTTAATCAATTCTGTTGAGCAGCTTTTGTGGAGAAGTGGATAGACTTCACCCCCTACAACACTATATTCAGAGAGAAATTCAACAAAATTTATCTAAGTTCAAAAGGCATTAAAACTGGAAAAATAAATAAAAATACCAAATCAAAATATGAGATGCACGTCTTTAGAGTCCCTATAAAGCACATGTGTAATCTAAATGAATTCCATAAAGTAGTTTTTGAGGAGAAGTGGATAACATACACCCCCTGTTGGATGGAACGAACACTGGCTGAATAGAACAAAATTCAACTAAGTTCAAACATCTGTAAAAGTGACAAAATTAAGAAATTGCATAAAAAATTATGAAATGCACACCTTTAGAGTCCCTACAAAAGACATGTAGAAGTTCATTCAATTCTGTTGAGCAGTTTTTGTGGAGAAGTGGATAGACTTCATCCCCTATTACACTATCATCATAGAGAAATTCAGCAAAATGTACCTAAGTTCAAATGTCTCTAAACTTGCAAAACAACAATAAAATACAAAAACAAAATATGAGATGCACACCATTAGAGTCCCAAGAAAGCCCATGTATAAGTTCACTTAATTCCACAGAGCGGTTATGGTGGAGAAGTGGACAGAATACATTCCCTGTTTCGTACGGACGGACACTGAGGGTAACCCTATATGCCCCAGCCATATATTGTGGGGGCATAAAAATAAAATAGAAGATTTCAATCATAAATGGGATATTCTCTTCCCAGTACTTTGATGAATTTAAAATGTATCCAATTTACCTGAGGTCATATTTTTCTTTTATTGACTTATATATGAGTATTAACATGATATTGACATAATACCTGTACATCATCCATCTGTCTGTACATCACTGCTCTACATATCATGACATTGTAATCCTGGGAACCAATAAAAAAAACAAAAAAAACAACAACAACAAAAACTATAGATATCAGTCTCCTGGTGGCGACCTCTTCATGACAGGCTTGGCCAGCTATTGATATCGGTCTCCTGGTGGCGACCTCTTCATGACAGGCTTGGCCAGCTATTGATATCGGTCTCCTGGTGGCGACCCCTTCATGACAGACTAGGCCAACTATTGATATCAGTCTCCTGGTGGCGACCTCTTCATGACAGACTAGGCCAACTATTGATATCAGTCTCCTGGTGGTGACCTCTTCATGACAGACTAGGCCAACTATTGATATCGGTCTCCTGGTGGTGACCCCGTCATGACAGACTAGGACAACTATTGATATCGGTCTCCTGGTGGTGACCATGACATGACAGGATAGGACAACTATTGATATCGGTCTCCTGGTGGTGACCTCTTCATGACAGACTAGGCCAACTATTGATATCAGTCTCCTGGTGGCGACCTCTTCATGACAGACTAGGCCAACTATTGATATCAGTCTCCTGGTGGTGACCTCTTCATGACAGACTAGGCCAACTATTGATATCGGTCTCCTGGTGGTGACCCCGTCATGACAGACTAGGACAACTATTGATATCGGTCTCCTGGTGGTGACCATGACATGACAGGATAGGACAACTATTGATATCGGTCTCCTGGTGGTGACCTCTTCATGACAGACTAGGCCAACTATTGATATCAGTCTCCTGGTGGTGACCTCTTCATGACAGACTAGGCCAACTATTGATATCGGTCTCCTGGTGGTGACCCCGTCATGACAGACTAGGACAACTATTGATATCGGTCTCCTGGTGGTGACCATGTCATGACAGGTTAGGACAACTATTGATATCGGTCTCCTGGTGGTGACCGTGTCATGACAGGTTAGGACAACTATTGATATCGGTCTCCTAGTGTTGACAGTCTGATGACAGACTAGATTAATTATCTAGAGTAAGTTGTAGCAAAGTGAGTACAGATACAGCCTCCCCCCCCCTCCCTTACCTGTTTGACAGGTGTTTCAGGGGGCAGTCCCTCCTCTTGTGACCACTCTGTCCACATATATGGCAGCCTGCAACAAGACCAGGTCAATGAAATATTGTCCCCACATAAATGGTTATACGTTCGTGTAACCTTGATTCGTGGATATAAGGGAAGTTCGGCGAAATTCATATTTTAAATGCATGATTTCATTTTGTATGCGCACTGATTATTTTATTCATTTATTCAGCAAATTGAAAATACCTAGTATTTCACTCATGAATGAAACGTTTGGCTATGGAAGCCATTTGCAATCATCACCCATTCATGTGCCCACAAAATGTGACGTCACCTTGTTTCGTGGATTACGTAGTCGGTTACTTTATACCACAATGTACGACATCCCACAGCAGTAAGTATTGACACCAGGAAAGCAGACAATGAGAAGTTAGAAGGTTTTACTTGACATTTTGTAAAAATAAAATTTGGTAATGGTGGTATTAGTGATATGGGGCTATTTATCTCAATGCTGGACAATTATATTTAGTGTACTTGCGTGTAATGCACAAATTCGGAACTTTTTTGTCAGCGAGGCGTGGCATTGTACGTACATCAAAAGTACTGCTTTGTGACGTCAGTCGATACTTAATTTACGAGCTAGCATGATAATTTCCGCGATCCACGAATCAAGGAAATTTAGGTTTCGGTTCTGTATATGTATAAATCCCTCCAGATCTAGAATTCATGGGTCCAAGTTATGCATCTACTATCTGTAATTCTACGTATAAAAGCCTCTGTCTAATCATAACTAAAGACATGTCACAGAATGGAATGGCAAAGAAAACACCTGACCTGTGATCCTGTACCTGACATCTGATTCACCTGACCTGTGATGCTGTACCTGACATCTGACTCACCTGACCTGTGATGCTGTACCTGACATCTGACTCACCTGACCTGTGATGCTGTACCTGACTCACCTGACCTGTGATCCTGTACCTGACATCTGACTCACCTGACCTGTGATCCTGTACCTGACATCTGATTCACCTGACCTGTGATGCTGTACCTGACATCTGACTCACCTGACCTGTGATGCTGTACCTGACATCTGACTCACCTGACCTGTGATCCTGTACCTGACATCTGTCTCACCTGACCTGTGATCCTGTACCTGACATCTGACTCACCTGACCTGTGATCCTGTACCTGACATCTGACTCACCTGACCTGTGATCCTGTACCTGACATCTGACTCACCTGACCTGTGATGCTGTACCTGACATCTGACTCACCTGACCTGTGATGCTGTACCTGACATCTGACTCACCTGACCTGTGATCCTGTACCTGACATCTGACTCACCTGACCTGTGATCCTGTACCTGACATCTGACTCACCTGACCTGTGATCCTGTACCTGACATCTGACTCACCTGACCTGTGATCCTGTACCTGACATCTGACTCACCTGACCTGTGATCCTGTCCCTGACATCTGACTCACCTGACCTGTGATCCTGTACCTGACATCTGACTCACCTGACCTGTGATCCTGTACCTGACATCTGACTCACCTGACCTGTGATCCTGTACCTGACATCTGACTCACCTGACCTGTGATCCTGTACCTGACATCTGACTCACTTGACCTGTGATCCTGTACCTGACATCTGACTCACCTGACCTGTGATCCTGTACCTGACATCTGACTCACCTGACTCTCTGCTTGCCCCACACTTGTGGTCTTGTAGCTGACATCTATTACATATACTACAGTGCACCCAGGAGGGCTTCACACAGCGTTCACAGGTATCACAGTGAATATAACTTGTTCCATCCTACAAATACAAAACATATTGCTGTATCTTTGATTTGCGGTTATAAGTGGTATTGCATAAAACACACCAAGTTTAACAGACAGTAGTGTACTATAGTACAGTATACTGGTATCTGTACACTCTTGTTAACTGCTATTATTCAAGCAGCATTATGCATGCTTTCCCATGAAATGGAAAGGATGTTACTTATTTACATGCCACCGGTACCTGGGCAGGGACAATGTTGACACTATTCACAGGATATCTGACAGAGCACTACAATGTGTGACAGTATCAGTTTTCTGTTGTTATGAGTGCAGCATTCTCATTCTCCCTGGATCTGGTGTCCCCCGCCGTGATATTGCTGGAATATTGCTAAAAGCGGCGTAAAACTAAACTCAGTCAGTCAGTCATTCTCCCTGGACATATCCAAACACTGCATGCAACTGAAGGAGTTCCCTGGACACATCAACACACTGCATGCAACTAAAGGAGTTCCCTTGACACATCCAAGCACTGCATGCAACGAATGGAGGTCCCTTGACACATGAAAACACTGCATGCAACTAATGGAGGTCCCTTGACACATCCAAACACTGCATGCAACTAATGGAGGTCCCTTGACACATGAAAACACTGCATGCAACTGAAGGAGTTCCCTTGACACATGAAAACACTGCATGCAACTAAAGGAGTTCCCTGGACACATCAAAACACTGCATGCAACTAAAGGAGTTCCCTTGACACATCCAAGCACTGCATGCAACTAATGGAGTTCCCTTGACACATCCAAGCACTGCATGCAACTAAAGGAGGTCCCTTGACACATCAAAACACTGCATGCAACTAAAGGAGGACCCTTGACACATCAAAACACTGCATGCAACTAAAGGAGGACCCTTGACACATCAAAACACTGCATGCAACTAAAGGAGGTCCCTTGACACATCCAAGCACTGCATGCAACTAAAGGAGGACCCTTGACACATCCAAACACTGAATGCAACTAATGGAGGTCCCTTGACACATGAAAACACTGCATGCAACTAAAGGTTGACACATGAAAACACTGCATGCAACTAAAGGAGGTCCCTTGACACATCCAAGCACTGCATGCAACTAAGGCAGGTCCATTGACACATCCAAACACTGCATGCAATTAAAGGAGGACCCTTGACACATCAAAACACTGCATGCAACTAAAGGAGGACCCTTGACACATCAAAACACTGCATGCAACTAAAGGAGGTCCCTTGACACATCAAAACACTGCATGCAACGAATGGAGGTCCCTTGACACATCAAAACACTGCATGCAACTGAAGGAGGTCCCTTGACACATCAAAACACTGCATGCAACTAAAGGAGGACCCTTGACACATCCAAACACTGCATGCAATTAAAGGTGGACCCTTGACATATCCAAACACTGCATGCAATTAAAGGAGGACCCTTGACACATCAAAACACTGCATGCAACTAAAGGAGGTCCCTTGACACATCAAAACACTGCATGCAACTAAAGGAGGACCCTTGACACATCCAAACACTGCATGCAATTAAAGGAGGACCCTTGACATGTCAAAACACTGCATGCAACTAAAGGAGGACCCTTGACACATCCAAACACTGCATGCAACTAAAGGAGGACCCTTGACACATCCAAACACTGCATGCAATTAAAGGAGGACCCTTGACACATCCAAACACTGCATGCAACTAAAGGAGGTCCCTTGACACATCAAAACACTGCATGCAACTAAAGGAGGACCCTTGACACATCAAAACACTGCATACAACTAAAGGAGGTCCCTTGACACATCCAAGCACTGCATGCAACGAATGGAGTTCCCTTGACACATCAAAACACTGCATGCAACTAAAGGAGTTCCCTTGACACATCCATGCACTGCATGCAACTAAAGGAGTTCCCTTGACACATCCAAGCACTGCATGCAACTAATGGAGGTCCCTGACACATGAAAACACTGCATGCAACTAAAGGTTGACACATGAAAACACTGCATGCAACTAAAGGAGGTCCCTTGACACATCCAAGCACTGCATGCAACTAAAGGAGGTCCCTTGACAAAAGGGCAACATTTGTACACAGGTCATACCTTGGACGGACAGCAGCCGCACTTGCCACAGTGTTTGTTCTCCTCGGCAGAGTAGCGCTCACACATCTCACACCACCTGAAACACAGTGACACCTTCTTAGTTAGGGAGCACCTGCACAGTGGGGATCCTCAGTAATCCAACTTTACATCCATTATATTTTGACAAATATCATGGGCCTATTCAACATGATGTCATTTTGAAACTATCTTCAGTCTCAATTATTCCTATCCCTAAATACGCACAGCATGTCTTGTACCTATGCCAGCAATTTGGATGGGCAGCTATTTACACTGTTGTTGAACTGCAATCAAAATGAAGCCATGATAGAGGATGACTTCATGGATTTGCACCTGACACCATGCTACGATTTAGTCTTGGCAAAATGGAGGCCTCACAAGTTTGACACAGATGTAGAAAACATTTTGTTGTACTGTACCAACTGCCACTTTTTAATAAATATCCTTCTTGCAGTTAATAATAACCTTAATAACACTGAAATAACATCTTAGTTTCAAACATGATACTACTTACAAACACAAGCCAATCCATGAAGCTGCGCCTCCCTCATGAACTAATTCCCAACACTCTACTTCATATTCACGACATATATGTTTTGGGGATTCTTAATACGACAAGGCAGTAGAACGTATGATGAGAGTAATCCACAGATATTCTTCAGATGAGTTGCAGTGCAGAAACAAGGACAAGCTAAGGAACTTTTCTCCCTTGAGTTCTGCTAAACAACTAATCCAGGTTATCATGATGCCTTTGTATCACCTGTATCCCTGGTTGCTAGGTAGCGGGATCTGCCTTGCAGGAAGGTTGGTGAAGATCCTCACTGGGGACCCCTTCTTCTTCTTTGCTGAGAACAAGCTGTGGTTGTCATAGTCAACCTGGAATACATCCACTTACAGTCACTCCTCATCAGAATCAGGCCAATATGACAAGTAAATCTCTCATCCAACACCTAAATAATGATGTCCATAAAAAATTGTCCGGTAAATATATTATCTGACTAGACTCAAACAATAAAATGAACTATGTATTTCTGCATAAAGAATCAAATCATTAATCAATGTTGCTTGGTGATGAATAAAGATACATCTAATATTGAATATCTTCTTGAACTGAGTGACTTTAAAATGCAGGTTTGGAATGGCCTGAACCTAAAATCTTGTGGAAAGGACCAGTAGGTTTCCTTCAAAACAGAAGGTAATGCTACATAAATGATAAATTAGACTTGCAAGTAAGCTGTATTTATCTCACTGTGTCTCCTCAACACTTTGTACATGGACAAAAGATGAAGAACAGTTTGTATTCAATAGACTGTTGGTGTTACAACTCATACAGCCAACTCCAGCAATGTTCAACACACAAGCCCTACCTTATAGTCTAACATATGCAGGGCGGGAATACCATCTGTTACCCTCTTCTCCAGGAAGTAGGGGAAGAACCATAGCACCGGAACAGTGACAACCTCTTCTTCACCTTCAAGCAACAGTCAACACATCATTACTCATTGTTTAAGGAGTAATTCATATTGTAATAGTAATCAATGTGCAGTAGCATCAAGCAATACAGAAAGTGAGCATCTAACGGAGGTAACTCTGTAATACACATTGCAGCACCTCAGATCAGAGGCTGCTCATTCCCCCAGCTGTTGAGATAGATATGTACCAGGTCTCATCAACAAGGTCAACATGATACAATTGTTTAGGTATCTCTGATATTCAAGGTTAGTTTAATGGTGACGTATAAAAATGTTCACAGAGCACAGACCATAGCACAACAGCAACCATTTCGTCCACAGAAACTGCAACAGCCAATGACTTACATGTCAGCAGATACCAGACTTCTCAAGTGTAATACCCCTGTGTTTCTGTGTGCTGAGTGATAGGCATAAACACATTGTCAACAACCAGCACACCTACATGGGTTGGAATTGTTGATACCTTTACTTGAATGTACAAAACGAAGTGAGATAGGGGGGTATAGATCCCTGGTCTTTCAGACGCATCCAGTGTGTTCACTTGAAGCTGGAGGACCAATACACATTTTACATTGCTATTTTTAACTTCAGTAAAAACAACCAGAACAGTATCAATCTGGGATTCGAAACCCATGACCAGTGGACGACAACTAAATTGACACCTGTGAAGACTGGATGGCTTCATGCCAGAGACAACTATTCATGTTTTTGGTCTGCTGTGACTCGTAGTGTGAGAGCCATCACTGAACCCACCCTTGTCCTGAAGAACACAGTCAGACATGATCCGGGACATGGTCCTTGCCAGAGCTTCTACCATTCCCCCAAATGGAGGATCTGTTACTATGGCAACACGTTTTTGGTGGCTTGGAGTTACAAAGTCTTGATACACTTGTTCACTAGTTCCTGAGTCAAAGAAATGGAAGTTGAACATATTGAAGCGGCAGAACTGTGATGATGAGTACACCTGCATCTGGAACACACGCAAAAGTAGTAATGTCATCAGCACAGACAGTCTAGTCACTGTAGTGTGTGAGACATTGTCTCTGGGTAGCTAGTTACTGCTGGATACATATACATCATACAAATGAGAATACACACAAAGAAAGATGGTCTTTACATATCTTCAATCTTACTAGGACCACCTACTGCTTTGGACCTTACCCAACTTTAATCCTGTTATTTTACAAAATTTTCAAGCATTTAACAGGTAAAGCAGAAAATAAAAGCAGTTTTCATAAAGACCTTATAAAAGCCATTTTTATGAAGATTTTGTAAATAAATATCACAAAGATCCCAGTTTTCAAACCATGTGAATCCTTAACTGGCGGAATTAGTGAGTTTGGGATACCAACAGTTAACCCGTGTTAACTACTCATTCAAATTGCAACAAAGAAACATGTACATGTATTTAAATTAGCTTTGGTGGTCTTAAACACTTGCTGGAACCATCACTATAAGGGAGGTAACCCAAACAAATTTCTAGTTTTCCCCCAGCTCTCAGTTGTATATTTAACATATTGCAGGAGAACAGACTTGGCCTAACTGGCAGTGCTAGCAAGTGTGAATAAAGTCATTCAACATTCATATTGAATGGAAATCTAGAGCATGGTCCTTTTCCAACAGATTTGTTTCATCTTTAAGATGGAGGAGTACAACACACTCTAATAATTTGACAGGTATCACAGTATTCACACCAGTATAATATAGAACAGGCACTAGAACTTTTTCTTTTCTTTCTTTCTTTTTCTTCTTTTTTTTGCTAGAACTTCATATACTATTTTTATTATGTCAACCTACATTAAATAAACAGGCGATTTCGACTCATGGGTGTGAAAAACCAAGGCAGTTAGCTAAATCTTGACCCAGATCACAAACTGCCTGAATACTGCTGGAATGCTGGAGTTCTGTGTTACTACTGTAGTTTATATCTAACTTTACAAAAGTCATCATGCACATACATATCTTGCATCCAGATCTAGCAGCAGGGTATTTGTTGAGTGGCCCTTGGATCCACTTCTGTTGATGATAGCTTCATGTATTCTGAAACAATACAACGATCAGCACCAGTGAAAATCTGGGTTAGGAATGGATTCAGCCTCGTATTGTTGTAAGAGGTGTCTACCGGATTGGGTGATGAGACTTTGACTTGGTGTATGCACATTATTGTATCACAGTCCTCAGAGTCGATACTCAGGGTGTCAATCACTGGCAGGTTCAGGCTTCACTGTTAACAGACTGTCGTCATATAGCTGAATGTGGCAGTTAACGACAACCAAACAACACTGATCAGGAGCCACAATATCTCCGCTGACATCAGATTGTAATTCAGTGGGGAGGTGACACAAGCTTGTCAGGGCCTACACAAGGTTGTGTGTGGACAGAGTATATGAGAGACACAAGCCTGACAGGCCCTGCACGAATTACATGAGTGAGTGAAAGAGTTTGTTTTTACGCTGCTTTTAGCAATATTCCAGCAATATCACTGCTGGGCACAAATTATATGAGAGACAGAAGCCTTTCAGGGCCTGCGTGTTGAAGGATCAAGTGTTTCCATAACAGCCTACCTTGGAGCCCCGACACAAAGTACATGGGTGACACCAATTTTGTCCAGGGTCTGTAAGGTGAATGTGACTGCAGAGCTTGCAAACAGATATTGCTGAAACAGACATTCTCAAAAATGTTGACAGTAATCTACAGTATACTAACACACAATTCTATCTCTAATTTTAATGTTGACCTACAGCCTACTGACACACACCACCATGTCCAATGTTAACAGTGACCTACAGCCTACTGACACCCAGTACTATCTCCAATGTTAACAGTGACCTACAGCCTACTGACACACACCACTATCTCCAATGTTAACTGTGACCTACAGCCTACTGACACACACCACTCTCTCCGATGTTAACTGTGACCTACAGCTTAATGACACACACCGCTCTCTCAGTGTTAACAGTGACCTACAGCCTACTGACACACACCACTCTCTGAGTGTTAATGGTGACATACAGCCTACTGACACACAGTACTCTCTCCAATGTTAACAGTGACCTACAGCCTGTTGACACACACCACTCTCTCCGATGTTAACTGTGTCCTACAGCTTAATGACACACACCGCTCTCTCAGTGTTAACAGTGACCTACAGCCTACTGACACACACCACTCTCTCCAATGTTAACTGTGACCTACAGCCTGTTGACACACAGTACTATCTCCAATGTTAACAGTGATCTACAGCCTACTGACACACACCACTGTCTCCAATGTTAACTGTGACCTACAGCCTACTGACACACAGTACTCTCTCCAATGTTAACAGTGACCTACAGCCTACTGACACACAGTACTCTCTCCAATGTTAACAGTGACCTACAGCCTGTTGACACACACCACTCTCTCCGATGTAATACACCGCTCTCTCAGGGTTAACAGTGTACAGCCTACTGACACACACCACAGTTAATGGTGACAGCCTGCTGACACCAGTACTCTCTCAATGTTAACAGTGACCTACAGCAGACACACACCACTCTCTCCTATGTTAACTGACACACACCACTCTCTCAGTGTTAATGGTGACCTACAGCCTGCTGGACACACACCACTCTCTCCAATGTTAACTGTGACCTACAGCCTGTTGACACAGTACTATCTCCAATGTTAACAGTGATCTACAGCCTACTGACACACACCACTGTCTCCAATGTTAACTGTGTTACACTACTGTCACACAGCTTCCAATGTTAACAGTGACACACACACCACTCTCTCCAGTGTTAACAGTGACCTACAGCCTGTTGACACACACACCTCTCTCCAATGTTAGCTTAATGACCACACAGCCTGTTGACACACAGTACTATCTCCAATGTTAATGGTGACCTACAGCCTGCTGACACACAGTACAGCCAATGTTAACAGTGACTTGACACACACCACTCTGTCCCACAGCTAAAATCTCTCAGTGTTGGTGACCTACATCCTCCAACTGACCTACAGCCTGTTGACACACAGTACCACTCTAACAGTGATCTACAACTGTTAACTAAAATGTTACGGTGTGACCTACAGCCTCCAATGTTAACGGTGACCTACAGCCTACTGACACACACTACTCTCTCTTATGTTAACGGTGACCTACAGCCTACTGACAGCATATGTCTTGTTGTTGTTGTGTGGCTGGAACAGCTCTGTAGGATGCTGAAGTTGGGAACATGAGATATTTGTCTTAAGTGTGTGACCCTTATGGTCCTTGTGTTCCTCTGGAAGCAACAGAAGATCACATGTGTGACAGTATACTCGGGCAGAATCATGGAGCTGTGTGTCTCGTAGACGCTGACATCTGTAACAAAACACAGATAGACAACAATAATGTGAGTACCACTGCTCCCATAAGATGCCCTCATCAATTCCAAGACAAATCTGTAGGTTAACTTTATAAATCCCTACTCCTAAAAAAGAAATTTACATGAGAGTCAAACCTTTCTTCTGTATAACAGATTATTTACACATGACAGGGCAGATGATGAATATATTTAACCAAGTAAATATTAACTTTGTTCAAACATTAATGGAAGTAAAAGAAATGTTTAACCCCCACTCCAGACTTTAAAGACTTTAATGTCAGGCCCCCCTGACATGAAGTGGTTATGATCAAATGCTGTCTATCATTTACCATATTTACAAATATGTGGGAACCATAATGAACACTTTATGCTGGTAAACGTCGCTGAAAAAACCCAAATCATTACATAACTTATAGGATTTTTTCCCATTTCGTTACGAAACAGTACATACCGATTCCACAGATCAACATGGGAATATTTGGGAGAATTTCCCTTGTTAGTTAGCTTGCGTTCCTCGATCTTTTCTTTTGATATTTTTTCATCTGCATACTGGAAGAATCGACATTGTTTTCTGTCTCTGAAGGCTGAACATGCAAAGAACTTTCTCTGTTTGCCTGGCTTCTCACCATCCTGGTCATACTTGATGAATAGCAGTGCAGGTCCTAGGGGACACATTCAACATGACTTGTAATGTGAACTTGGATACATTCTGGTTGCCATGTGAGTGGGTTTGGGGATGGATAATATACCACATTAGGAATAATGTAATGCTGTGTGTTTATTCCTAAAACAGGATATTTACATCCCAAAACACACTTGTATGACAACCCATTTATCATATATATCATTCTTAACTTTTGATGTAAAAATATTATTTCAGCTGCCACAAACGAAAAACACAAGCATTGTAAGTTTTCGAGGAACGTGCACATTAACATGCAACATCACACAAAAAATATATTATGTTGTTAACCATACTATGCTGATATCTACAACCAATTACGCTTGGATCAAATTAGCCTTGTTAAATCTATACGTAACCTATACAGCTCTATGTTGAAAACACACTTTGTTTATCTCCCAAACACGCTAATACATTTCTTTCTGCTAAACTCCTGAAACATAGAAGTTAGTATTCCCAATAAATGGTTAATAAGGCTGCTTTTGTCTGTCTATGGTGAAAGATATGTTTCATTGCAAATTATGCAATGTTTTCTATTGTACGAAGTTCAGCTTGAGGCTTTTCTCTTTCGTTTTTATATGATCGGGGAATAAAGTTTGTCTGACATGTTTTTGGAAAATGCTGAAGAAAGTTTGATCATTCTGTTCGGTCATAGTGTATATTCACTATGCCAGTTTCTGGTCACATAACGAGACAGGTATTAATTTCTTCTTCAATAAACATGATAAATGAGCTTGGTTGGTTGATAGATCTGTATGGGTAGCTTATAAGCAAACTAATCCTCATGTCAATATGCCACAATTAGTGTATCCAAAGAAACATTTAGGGAATCCTGCGATTTATACATTAATATAATGATGGGCTGTTATTCCTGTCCTCTCGAGCATAGGCGCCCGACTCTGATATATGTATAAGCATGGCCAATATATCTTTTATATATATATATATAGATATATAAAGAAAGTGATGAGAATACTGAGCGTACAGTAGTACATATATAAGAAATAATCACACGACACGGATCTTCTCCAACATGTTTCACTTTTATCTTCAGGGAGAAGTGATTACAGTTAAACGGATTATGTTATGACGTCACTTTGTCATGACGTCACAATGCAACTGTATAATGTTGTGACGCGGTGTTGCCATGACGTCACATTGGCGGCTTTAAATTGACAGTATACTAGTAGCACAATGAAAACATGTATAATTCAGACACATTGCGTTACCTATTTAACGATGGACACAATTCTTTAATGAAAAAGTTTTCTTTAGCTTTACGCTGCATGGCGTCAGCAGTATTCATGTTATAGAAAGGGAATATTTTAAATTTTAATTCCTTTCCTGCTGCACATTTGTCGATGTGAGGGCTTAAGGGGATGCACCTTGTTTTGGGGTCCTTAATCTGTTGTTTATGGACGCGCATTCTGTCCCTCAAGCACTCCGTTTGTCCAATGTATTCTTCATGACACCCTTGGCATATAATAACATAAATAATATGTTTTGCGGAGCAGTCCATGTTAGAGCGTACATGAAATAATTGTTTCCTGTTTTTGAACTTTATACATGAAGTTTCAAGTATATATTCACAAGTTCCACAATTTCCCCGTTTACATTTTGAGACGCTGAATTCTGTAGGTTTAATACATGAGTCGAATGTGGCACGTGTCAATATGTTACGGCTTTGGCGTTTATATATATATATATATATCTTATCTATAGGCCATGCTTATACATATATCAGAGTCGGGCGCCTATGCTCTCGAGTTGTCGGATGTCTCAATTCCATGTCGGAAATGAAAACATGTTTACAGTAGACTGAACTCTTGATTACATCAATAGTTATAATGTCAATTGCCTAGTCGTCTTTGTAATTATGCAGGCCGTACCATGAGGACAGGACGGTACATCCAGATCCACTGTGTCTAGAATAACGTCAACATTACTGATGTTCGCCGACATCTCAAACGACAAATACACGTGTTTTGACCCAAACATGTAAACTTCCGGTAAGGGAAGTCACTCTCATTTCGCATTCTGTGAAAACAGAGTCAAATATGCTACTGGTTCGTAGTTCAAATCCCAATAGCAGGCATTTTAAATATTTTGTCCTCACTATATTCATGTTTTATGAATATAGAGATAACCCACCACATTTTTATTTAATATTTTATGTAGACCTATGGTTAGCTCTATATCTACAACAGTAATTATAAAAGAATGTCAGTGGATGTATTTGTAAACGATCAGAGACCATATAATAGATATAATAATTATGTACGCACTATTATATGGTCTCTGAAACGATTTATCATTTTATGACAAAAATGTGAACCCTCGTAGCAAATGAGGGATGCACATTTACTGGCTTTAAATGTTTCGAGAAAAGAGTGTTAATATACTTGATAGGGAATCCTTTATGAATATTAGGAAATTTGAAGATCCAGAAGGGGACCTTCCTGTTTATGAGGCATATCACAGAAAATAGATTATTACTCATGTTTCCTGCTCCAGTTGTACATTGCTATAACATAGTATATGGCTGATTGTTGCTGACAACATCTTTCTTTTATTGAGACTAACAAGTAAAGTAGCTCCTACAGCAGCTGCCTATTTAATATTGTCACTGATAAACTGATTGTGTATACAGTAAGGCCGCGTTCATAATTTATGGCTAGGGGGGTGATGATGATTTTTATGGAGAAGCATGTACAATGTGAATGACAATGTAAAATTTATGTACAAAATAAGTGACCCCCCCTGCATGTCATGTACAAAATCAATGACCCCCCTTCCCTTCCCATAATTTCTAAGCATAAGTTTAAACATATTGCTGGCACCTCCTCCCTCCCTAGTGCGTGTGTACAAAATTGATGCCACCCCACCAGCTCCCCAGAACAAAATGGGTGGAAACCCCCACCCCACCCCTAAAATCATCATCACTCCCCCTAGCTATCAATTATGAACGGTCCCAAAGTGTCGTTTTTCTGATAAAACTGAATAGTGAGACATTCGGTTTGCCGAAACAAGTCCAGTACACCACATGCAGTAGTGTCATTGCCGACACACTCAAAATAGTTTATCATTAAGTTCATGTAAAATCGCATCTGGCTGGCTGAAGGGGTAGGTGTAGCTTCTGGTTCGTTTTGTCTTCGTCCTGATCGCTGTTGCTCAAACTAACACAAAGTGTGACCTGTTAATTATTAAAATCACAAACTCAGACTTGTTCAACTCGTAATGTATTAATTGCAATTTAAGTTTACTGATAACGAGCCCCGCCATTGTTAGGCAATATGGCTGTATTTAAATGAGAAATGAAAAATAATTTAGCAGATGTAGACATTTTTTAAATATGTTGATTTCATAGATATAAAACTTTAATGCCAGAGAATAACCAGTCTCAGTAATCTCACAAAAGGCCATAGTAGGGCACACTTATACAGCTTGCTTACAGATTGGCATAGAAGTTGGACCAGGGTGAGGTATGTATGGGAAGTACTGAATTTCATGTTATGAGCACCCTGCTGCAACAAGTACCCCACCCATATTACACCGCTAGAGCAATCCTTATGAAATCTTTATAAGAGTGACAGATTGGTGTGTGGGGTAGCTTGAGGATATGCAGGTCTGAGATGTTTTTTCTATTTTTGTGAAACCATGAGCATGGACATGGTGCTGGCAATGTAGAAATATAATCAAGATGACTCTGGGATTCACATCCATCATCATAGAGTTCTTGCATGTAAATGGATGCAACCCGTGAAGATCCGGGTTAAAACTGGTCTTCAGCAACCCCTGCTTGTCATAAGAGGCGGTTAACGGGATCGGGTGGTCAGACTTGCTGCCTTGGTTGACACATGTCATCTTATCCTGTGTAGATCAGTGCTCATGCTGTTGATCACTGGGTTGTCTGGTTGATTATTTACAGACTGACCACTATATTGCTGGAATGGTGTTGAGTGAGTGAGGCCTTAAACAAGAAAGCAACCAACCATCCAAGGGAGGCAACTCTGCACGGCAAACTGATCCCCCTGTTGTTCAGACATTGAGCGTACAGCATGGACAAAACACAACATCCGTTTTTCAATGTTTATTTGCATAATGATGATGGTTAACTCGCATCCTCTTTATATCACTACATTCTTACATTCAACTAATACAACTGGATTAGTATTGTACAACATCACCCATGACTCTATCACAAGGTTTGTAAAGCTTGTATAATCTTTGGTCCATTTTGGTATCATTGTATCAGCATGGATGATGGAATGCCAGGGTTTCCATAGCAATGCTTACTATTCTAATTTTGGCGAGAACAACCTGTTTACTTTTTATTGTTTTGTGATCAAAGCTGAGGTTTGAAAAAGTTTTGATAGGTTCCTTTTTAAATTAAGAAATTGTTTATTTTTTTTATCTTTTCTTTCTGAATGCTTTTATAGCTTTTGTTGAAAAGCCCAAACCCCACCAAAAAGAAAACTAGAAATAATCCTGAAAAATCATTAATTATGTATTTTATTCTTCTGTATTTACAAGGTAATGACTTGACAAATTTGTCCTGGCCTTATTGAATAACATACTTTATAGACTTTGAGTATCTGAGAATCACAAATAGAACTAATGATGTTCTACAAGTTTGTTTGGCCATTATGATTTGCAATGTTTTACTCCATTTTGAAGTTTTTGTTAAGTCAGAATAAATGCATTTTCTAATATACGATGATATCATAATGACTTAAACAAAGGTTGATAATAATTAGAGAGGTACAGTATTACAAACTGTAATTATTGGCGTAGCTTTGACCACTATTGGTTTCATGTGTTATTGTTTTACAACGCAGTGGTAATACATTGTATTTGACTTCATGGAAGTAATATCTAATGAGAAGGAAATATGTATCTTGCATTCATGCATTCATGCATATCATTAAGGCACATGAGACATCTTGACTGTAATAAAGTTTTGAAAAAGTGCCAAGTTTGAAATGTTTTCTTTGCCCATAAGCATGGTCATCTGCTCTTGAAGGAATCATGATAAAATTAAAATTTGCTTATGAAATCTACAATTTCATATCACAGATTTTATTTGACTCCATTTTGTCTTGCTATGCACTTGAAATTTTCTATTAGCACTCTTACAAAGACATAAATACTTGTGAATGGGCTATCATCTCTAGGAAGTACATCATATATAAAACCATTGAGACATAGGGATATGACCTTTAACTGCAATGTGGGTTTCATACTGCTAAAACTATTTTCTATTGCAATTGAACAAGATATGTATAATTATGAAATAGCATACACATTCTCAATGAACATTGCAAAGTCTATAAAATGTTTATATTCAGTTTCTATGCAAGCAAATGTTTAGGAAATATGTACAATAAAGATCTTAAATGGCTATTTCTAAGTTTTGAATGAAACTTACTCATCATGAGGCTATATAGGTATACATATGTATATATAAAAAACTTCACTATATAGACAATTTACAAGAAAGCATTTAACTATAAATTATCTACAGTATATAATAGTACAATTGTATAATCATGCACTAATACTGTTACATGGTCATATAAAATGTGTGATCTGACATATTTGTTGTGTCCTTTCATAACATATTCAGTTTAATTACAATTTTAACTTTTTTTGTGGTCACAAACTATAAAGAGCCTAGATTTCTTGAATTGATGAACAAACTGTGTATGATATCTTAAAAGATGAAACTGTTTGTTTGGTCAAATCAGGGTGTATTTTTCTTGCAAATCCGAGTAAATTGTAGTTTTGAAAGGTGGAAATATTTAAATTCAATATGACTGGTATACACTTGAGTTAGTATTAGACAGCAGTAGCTACAGTAAACATCACTGGATGACAGCAGCAATCATTGTAGTGGCCTGCTGACAGGGAGTCATGGAATTAGTTTCTCATTACATTAGTAATGAAATATTCAAACAATAATATCATGGTTTGATGGCAGTGATAAACTTTTGTGGTATATTGGTTTCCATGCTTCTCAAACAGAACCTTATATCTGTTTGGGTCAGTTTCGATAAGCTTGCAAGGTTAAAATCTGTTTGGTACTTAAGTGCATAAACATTATCATAAGGTCAAAACATGCAAAAAATATGCATTATCTTTCTATGTTAAAATTAGAGTTGCAAAACAATTTAAGGGTGTTATATTGCATTAAAATAATATTCTGATGACAGTCTTTTTCTTTCCTAATTGATATTTAGTCAACTTAACCAATTTATAAATGTTCATACACCCTAGTCGATGTTGTAGAGTCTCACAGCACATGAATTTCAACATGTATTGAATAGGGCTCCAATTGTACATCCTTGTCTTTGCTATCCTCTCTGTGCTTGGGCTTACATTCAATTTCTAGTCTATACTCTCCTTTCTCGCGTAACCTACGAGTAAAATGTAAAGAGCTAATTCCCTTCTTTTTATGCATTGAGAATATTCCTTCTTCATTTCCATTAATAATGGTATACACCACATTGTTCTGGAGAGCACGCATAGATGGCAGGACTTTGATGACACGAGCCTTTGGTCGAGTTTGCTTCCGCTTCAGATAAAGGACAATAGGTCTGAACTCTGGGGTCTTGATGTCACCGGATGGGGCTGTCACATTGGCAGCTTTGTGCTTGTGCTGAAACAGATTGGAATGTAAAGCTCGGGGTTCACAAATTTTAAGTCATCTCTCATTTCAATGTCAATGAATGCTTCAGTCACTTCAACACCCTGTTGGCATCTAGAGCAGAGTAAGACTGTGGTGTCAAAGTCATCTTGGATTTACCGGGTGGTGATGTGACTGTCATTGTAGCTGGACAGACAGAGTCCACTCATTGTATCATTTTTAGTTATTATACATAACAGACATCAGTGTATGAAATAAGGCCCGTCCAACTGCCCCAGACGGGCTAGATTTCTCCCGGACGGTCTAATTTTACAGCTAGCCAGCCCGATGGAAGGGTGGAAAAAAATATTCAGATAACATGTCCACTGGCACTGTCTATTTAGTATTTAAGAAGGACTGGTTAAATCTCTTCTGGGATGGTAAGTTTTTGAAGTTACCAGCCCAGATGTCGGGCTGGGTTTTGGGTTTATTTCATACACTGCAGACATAACAAATTAGCTGCAGGCTTGTTAACTGGCTCAAAAGCATAATCATAAGTCACCTGATGAAAGGGCAAGGAAAAGTTCAGAAACGTTGTGTAAAAAATAAAGAAGAAGTTGACATCCATAATATTTTGTCTTATACATAAGTCTCTAGTTAGATTATATTTTTCTTGGTTAAACATTAAAACTGAACTCACATGTCTGTGTATTTTACGTTGTAAATATATATCCCTCTTTTGCCTGCTTCTATATTTCTCCATTTCAGCCTTAGGATTCATCTCAAACTTGTGTATGTGTGCCTCCAAGTCCTCCTCCTCCTCCTCATCAAAGTCTGGCAAACTTCTCTTGGCTCTCTTGGTGAGAGGGAGATCCCCAAACTCATGGTCACACTGGTAGCATCCTTCTCCTGGAGGCAGCTTCCCACCGGAGGGGCCTGCCTCATGGGGCAGCTGCACCCCCTCAGGGTACACTCTCTCCTCTCTGCCACTACTGCCTGGAGGGGTGATCGTCGAGATGCAGTGACTGAAACATCACACACATTGCTTACATGCAGGCAGCAAGGAATCTGTGCATAGTTTCTTACTGTGTTTCACTAATTTGAGATAGTACTAATAGTAAATAACAACATGACCTAATTTCAGATATGTCTTGACTTTGAGGAGTTTGTTCCTCATCAAATGCTGTGTACATTCTTACCCTTGTCCTATGGGTTGGTATCCATTAGGACACCCACAAGAGAAGCCCTGTGCAGTGGGAGAACAGCCAAACACACATGGGTTGCCGCCACAGGCATTGGGGTCTGAAACATGGACAGTATTTGACAACAATGTTACATAAAATGTAGGAAGGTCGGCAAAATATGTATTAGTTACAAACCACCGCACTTCCATCATAACATATGACCAGTCCCTTAAATAGAAACCAAAAATGTTAATACCTGTAACATGTTTAAGTACCACTATCTGTATTACCAGCTGCTGTTGAGCATGTATGTGATAAAAGTACCAACTGTACGATGTCCAGTCAAAGACTACAAATGTTGAAATCCATAATACTACCTTTACATAATACATGATTTGACAAAATCACTATCAAGGACACAGCCAGGATAATTCTGCAGCAATAAGTGGGTACTGTGTTGTGACTGGCTGAGGAACATTGTATGTCCAGGATTTACAATATAACCTATAGCTGTATCTTGTTTTCAGCTGCATAACAAGCGACTTTGCAAAAAGTATCCTGTTATTTGACTTGCCACTTTTCCAAAAAGAGTGTTTCCATCTGATGAATGCTGCAGCTTTGTGTTTCTGACTACACCATTGACTGAGGCACTACCTTCTTAATGGTTTGTTTCTACTAAACCAATGGTGAAAGAGACAAGGAATATTTCTTAATGCTGCATCAGCAATTTGTCTGGCCATGGTGAGTACAGTTAATACCAAAGTTGGTCAAATGTAATGACTCAAGGATCTAACCCTGGACTATTTACTTAACACTTTCTGTTTTGATTTTGCTTATATAAAATGATTAGGGAAAGGTTCCATTTAAACCTATTTCTACTCAAACAATTCTGGTTTTCTGGTGTCAAATGATGATAGAGTTTAACAAAAGATCTACTGCCATTTTGTGCAATCATCTGAGAGGTCTACTTAACGGTTAGTTTCTCTGTAGAAGAAGCAGTCCTGTTGGATAATTAGTTATAAGTTTCACTGATGTGCACAATTAGGTTATGTATTGTATAATATTTATATCTCCTCCCATGACACATACCGACACAAGTGGACATCTGCATGTCAAATGTCTGTCCGCCGTTGCACTGACAGTCAAAACTGCCGGGTATGTTGATGCAGATGGCGACGCCGCACAGGAACTGGTCCATACATTCATTCTCATCTACAACAGCAACATGGCATTATTTCATCTAAACACTTCTTTATACAGATTTCTTTTCACAGTTGTTGTCTGATGTATCTAAAGCATCAGTTAGTGGCTCACTCCAGACCTGTGTAAGACTGGTTCCTGTCTGTACTTGCACTGCATTTATCATTTATTTCTTCAGTCTGTCTATATGAATCTGAATATTGTCATCCATGCAAATATGAGCTGCACATTTAAGTTGAAAAGGTTCTATGCTCTATGATAAATTGCTATGTTAAACATACAGAAAGGCCGTTGTTGAGAGTTTACAGGCAGTGTGATAGAGGTAAGTTGTACTGACCGTAGCACTGTCCACTGTAGTGTTGTGTATAGCCTGGTGGACATTCACATCTGAAGCTGCCCGGTATGTTTTCACACTCGCCCTCACACTGTCCATCCTCGCACTCGTCCATGTCTGGACACAAAGAAATCATATCTGGTCATCGCTTGTGACCATCATGAATAGTTCACAGTCTTGTACATACTACATTCATCAGGCTCATTGACAAAGCACTTGTTTTACTATATAAAGTATTTATTAGCTAATCGTCTTTCTGTTATCACAGTTCTCATGACCATATCCATTCACAAATATTTCCATGAGTGAGTGAGTGAGTGAGTGAGTATGATTTTCCTCTGCTTTCAGCAATATATTCCAACAATATCACGGCAGGGGACACCAGAAATGGACTTCACACATTGTACCCTTGTGGGGAAACGAACTTGTGCCTTCAGCATGACGAGCAAATGCTTTAACCAGGAGGCAACCCCACCTCCCCTATTTCCATATAGGGGCATACTTTCAGTTACTCATAACCTGAAACTCAGTTCTAATAAGATGTCTGATCAGTTTTTAAAGATGACTAGAACTATAGTTTTGTCATGATGGATGTCAAGTATTTGGTGCTGATTTTATATCGGTCAAATGTCCTACTTGCAAACCGTTTCCTAATTTCTGTGATACCTGTATTGATACAATACTAACCAATGCACCTGCTGCCATCCTTGCTTGTCCTATAGCCCCGGGGACACTCACAGCGGAAGCTGCCCTGAGTGTTGCGACAGGTCCCAACAGGTCTACACAGGTTGGGGGAGTCAGCACACTCATCAATGTCTGCAAACAACAGAATTGGTAGCTTCATTATTCACTTATTCTGCTGTACTAGGAGGACATGTGAATCAATCAGACTTTGATGCTGATATATTATTATCTCATCACAGATCTATGTCCAATGTTCTTTCAATCGGGGACCGCCTCCATGATGTAGTGGTTAGAGACGTCCGTCCGGAGAGTGGAAGGTCGCGGGTTCGATCCCCGACCGCGTCATACCAAAACACGTTAAAATATGGTACTTGTTGGTCCCTGCCTGGCGCTCGGCATTAATGGGTACAACAAGGACTGGTCGGCTCGGAGTCGGTATAATGTGTCTGAGTGGGGTATTCATGCTTCACTGCGGCATGGTATCTCAGTGGGCTAGCACTATAAAACCAGCTTCAGTCTGGGCTAGTACAAGCAGCCGCACATACACATACACATGCATGCACGTCGTCATATGAGCGAAACATTCTCAAGCACGACGTAAAACCCAATTTCACCTCACCTCTTTCAATCGGTAATCGCACTGAAGCAGTCTCTTTAGTTCAAACTGAATTTTATAGAAACTTTTCATATTTTTTAGAATAGAAATTAATTCCCATGTGGTTATCGTTAAGGATATGAAAGACACTACACAATGTCCTCTAGTCTCACCATCACATTGCCTGGTCCTGCCTTTCCTGTAGCCAGGAGGACACTCGCACTCGAAGCTGCCAGGAGTGTTGACACACCGGTCCCGGCAGTTGTGCTGCATCATTGTGCACTCATCAAGGTCTGCAATGAAGGTCAGTATGGTATCATGTTCTGATCTTGCTTTCAGTGAGATGTGTTTAACCTACTTTGAACAGTATTTTAGTAATATCACAGGTGTGAGGAAAATGTGCTGAAGGTAAAACCCATGGGTACAGGCAAGATGCTGATAAACCAAGGGTCTTAAAGGTCACATGCAACCAAAAAAACAAACATTATTAAAACACAATTATCACTTATTCATGACATATAATACACATTGCTGATTATGTAAAAAACAAATAAACAAAATTATAAGCGTACAATTGCAAATCAAAAGTGCAATATTTGGTACTTGGGTTTACTTCCCTCGAAACGAAGCACCCAGGAGACCGAACCCAGTCAGAGCTGGTAAATACATGCTCATTTTTTCTGCATTTGCGTTCGATCCAAACAACAAATACTGAGATGGTGAACTACTGCGTGGCTGGAAACTGTCGTTCGTTCAAGTACAAAGCAGGACTTGAAACTGACAATCTGAGTTTTGTCATCCGAGAAAAATTGATGCTATTTGTTTGCAACCCACAGACATAATAACATGTCATGTGTACAAGTATCACACCTGCCTGTCTGTGTAATTACATAATGTGACAGAGACAGAATTCAGGAGCACGAGCCATAATTCAATGTATTTTGTTTATGGTGTATAGCCTGATACATTTCAAGTTCAAATTGCATGTGGTCAATGATTGACATATTGTCATTAGCAGACAGGCAGGCAGACACATAGGTGTCAATAAAACAGACATTGAGTTTTGTCTGTGACAAAGACTGCTTATCACAATCAACATATTTTTCTATGTTTCCATTGACATGTATTAAAACATTTCAGTTTTCAGGCTGAGCAATTTTTAACAAAGAAATTAGTATTTCTAATGCTACACTTTCTTGAAAACTTGGTTTGCAAATCTGCTAACCCCCAAAAGCAAGATGTGAAAACATATAAGAAAAAGTATGGGACCAGTGTATTTTTATTACTGCAGACCAAAGATGCTTGTAATCACAAGAAACATCTTTTCAACTTCGACCACAGCGATAATCCTTGCATGTTGCTGTGTTTTTCGCCTTCTCGGTTCAAGCCGCATGAACCTAATCACTGCGCATGCGCTATGGGGGCAGCGCAGCACAGCTGTTGGAACCTCTTTTCACCTGAGCGCTGGGGTGAAATTAGTGAATTAGTGAAACTCCGATTTCATAGTGTTTTTTTCATCACATTATTTTTCAACTTTATAAGTTGAATTTGCATTTTTGATAATTTGTTATTGTAAGTCCATACCGAAAGGTATCAGAATCTGCAAAGTTGTGTTTTGCGTTGCATGTGACCTTTAACCACCTGGCCACTGTCACCGGATCCTTGCATGACTAAGGAACACAATTCTGAATCATGGCACCTTGGGCAACTGCTCATCTGTGCACCTCTGTTTTGAAAGCTACTGACAAATGTGTGTTTTCCTATGAATGAGCACTAATGTATACATATGTATGTAGATAGTTAATGTGACTGTATTTGAATTTAGAAATCCAGGAATATAATAAATAATTCTCTGACCTCTGCATGTCTTGCCGTCAGGGTTGAGAACATATCCACGAGGACAAGTACACAGGAAGCTCCCATCTGTGTTCTGACACGTGAACTCACACGGCTTGGGATCAAGCCGACAGTCATCAATATCTGAAATCAAGGGAGATAACCTTCAAATTGTCTTAACATTATAAACACTCAAAATGATAATGTATATATTATTTATACAATGGGTCAAAGGATAACCATTTCCAAGATTCCATAAATCCAATTTATTTGTCAATCCATATTTCTAAACATGAACAGACCAAGTCTTTATTTACTGCATAAGACTGTGCACTATATACCTACCAATACATCTCTTGCCAGAAGCATCAGTCTTGTAGCCCTTGTTACAGACACATCTGTAGGAGCCCATCGTGTTCAGACAACGGCCATTGGCACATGCATCAGGCATATCTGCACACTCATCAATATCTGAAACAGTGATGTGAGATGTGAGACCTGTTATCAATGATACCCAAACATCCATGCCTATTATGGGATATACATATGGCTTCATAATCCACTAGTTTCAGCAGCACTGACATTCTTCTATGAGTATGTATAATGACAATAGGGTGTCTGTTAGGTAACATGATACTGGCAGCTGAAGTAACTAAGGGTCCATGGCCATTAATTTACCCAGTCACCCTTAATGGAACACCTAAAATGACTAGGTGTAAATCATTAGTATACTCAGTCACCCTTCATGGAACATTAATATACTCAGTCACCCTTCATGGAACACCTAAAATGACTAGGTGTAAATCATTAATATACTCAGTCACCCTTCATGGAACACCTAAAATGACTAGGTGTAAATCATTAATATACTCAGTCACCCTTCATGGAACACCTAAAATGACTAGGTGTAAAGCATTAATATACTCAGTCACCCTTAATGGAACACCTAAAATGACTAGGTGTAAATCATTAATATACTCAGTCACCCTTCATGGAACACCTAAAATGACTAGGTGTAAATCATTAATATACTCAGTCACCCTTAATGGAACACCTAAAATGACTAGGTGTAAATCATTAATATACTCAGTCACCCTTAATGGTCAGGTGTAAATCATTAAGTATACTCAGTCACCCTTAATGGAACACCTAAAATGACTAGGTGTAAATCATTAATATACTCAGTCACCCTTCATGGAACACCTAAAATGACTAGGTGTAAATCATTAATATACTCAGTCACCCTTCATGGAACACCTAAAATGAACTACTCAGTCACCCTTCATGGAACACCTAAAATGTAGGTGTAAATCATTAATATACTCAGTCACCCTTAATGGAACACCTAAAATGAGGTGTAAATCATTAATATAGCTCAGTGTATACTCAGTCACCCTTAATGGAACACCTATGAAGGTGTAAAGCATTAATATACTCAGTCACCCTTAATGGAACATCTAAAATGACTAGGTGTAAATCATTAGTATACTCAGTCACCCTTCATGGAACACCTAAAATGACTAGGTGTAAATCATTAATATACTCAGTCACCCTTAATGGAACACCTAAAATGACTAGGTGTAAATCATTAATATACTCAGTCACCCTTAATGGAACATCTAAAATGATGAGGTGTAAATCATTAGTATACTCAGTCACCCTTAATGGAACACCTAAAATGACTAGGTGTAAAGCATTAATATACTCAGTCACCCTTCATGGAACACCTAAAATGACTAGGTGTAAATCATTAATATACTCAGTCACCCTTCATGGAACACCTAAAATGACTAGGTGTAAATCATTAATATACTCAGTCACCCTTAATGGAACACCTAAAATGACTAGGTGTAAATCATTAATATACTCAGTCACCCTTAATGGAACATCTAAAATGATGAGGTGTAAATCATTAGTATACTCAGTCACCCTTAATGGAACACCTAAAATGACTAGGTGTAAATCATTAATATACTCAGTCACCCATGGAACATCTAAAATGACTAGGTGTAAATCATTAATATACTCAGTCACCCTTAATGGAACACCTAAAATGACTAGGTGTAAATCATTAATATACTCAGTCACCCTTCATGGAACACCTAAAATGACTAGGTGTAAATCATTAATATACCCAGTCACCTCAGTCACCCTTAATGGAACACCTAAAATGACTAGATGAGGTGTAAATCATTAATATATACCCTCAGTCACCCTTCATGGAACACCTCATGGAACACCTAAAAATGACTACTCCGTCACCCTTAATGGAACACCTAAAATGACTAGGTGTATAAGTCACCCTTAATGGAACACCTATGACTAGGTGTAAATCATTAATATACTCAGTCACCCTTAATGGAACACCTAAAATGACTAGGTGTAAATCATTAATATACTCAGTCACCCTTAATGGAACACCTAAAATGACTAGGTGTAAATCATTAATATAAGTCATTAATGGAACATCTAAAATGATGAGGTGTAAATCATTAGTATACTCAGTCACCCTTAATGGAACACCTAAAATGACTAGGTGTAAATCATTAGTATACTCAGTCACCCTTAATGGAACACCTAAAATGACTAGGTGTAAATCATTAATATACTCAGTCACCTTAATGGAACATCTAAAATGATTGTAAATCATGGAACAGTCACCCTAAAATGACTAGGTGTAAAGCATTAATATACTCAGTCACCCTTAATGGAACACCTAAAATGACCAGGTGTAAATCACTCAGTGGCTAAAATGACCAGGTGTAAACCATATGGCTATAGGCTATATTGGCAGATGACATCCTACCTTGTCCATCTGGAGTGTAGCCAGGGCCTTGTGGACACAGCTGCTTGTACTGGACTGGAAGCACATTGTGTTCAAAGGGAATATTGAGATACACAGAGTCAAAATAATCATGCAAAGAGTCCCTCAGCAACAAACCCATCATCTTAATATATACCTGGATCATCAGACCAGCTCTGTATATCACTTCAGCAAAATGCAAGATAACAATATGCATATCTTACTTATATGATTGACATATCTTGAGCAGGCTAACAAACAGAAAGGACAATAACTATTTAGCCATAGTGATCGTTCATGCAATATCTTTAGTGCATTTGATAAAGAGTATCAGGTCACTATTCTACTGCTAATAGGGCCCCTTTTCTTGGATTCATCAACTATATGGGTATTGCACAACCTGCGCCCCTACCCTCACAGTGCTTGAGTGACCTGGGAAGCCCTATGACCTACTTGTGTTGAAAGAGGGGCACCTCTCACAGCCTGACCCCTCCTTACAACCATACTGTACAGTGACACCCTGGGAAGCCCTATGACCTACTTGTGTTGACAGAGGGGCACCTCTCACAGCCTGACCCCTCCTTACAACCATACTGTACAGTGACACCCTGGGAAGCCCTATGACCTACTTGTGTTGACAGAGGGGCACCTCTCACAGCCTGACCCCTCCTTACAACCATACTGTACAGTGACACCCTGGGAAGCCCCATGACCTACTTGTGTTGACAGAGGGGCACCTCTCACAGCCTGACCCCTCCTTACAACCATACTGTACAGTGACACCCTGGGAAGGCCTATGACCTACTTGTGTTGACAGAGGGGCACCTCTCACAGCCTGACCTCACTCCTTACAACCATACTGTACAGTGACACCCTGGGAAGCCCTATGACCTACTTGTGTTGACAGAGGGGCACCTCTCACAGCCTGACCCCTCCTTACAACCATACTGTACAGTGACACCCTGGGAAGCCCTATGACCTACTTGTGTTGACAGAGGGGCACCTCTCACAGCCTGACCCCTCCTTACAACCATACTGTACAGTGACACCCTGGGAAGCCCTATGACCTACTTGTGTTGACAGAGGGGCACCTCTCACAGCCTGACCCTCCTTACAACCATACTGTACAGTGACACCCTGGGAAGCCCTATGACCTACTTGTGTTGACAGAGGGGCACCTCTCACAGCCTGACCCCTCCTTACAACCATACTGTACAGTGACACCCTGGGAAAGGCCTATGACCTACTTGTGTTGACAGAGGGGCACCTCTCACAGCCTGACCCCTCCTTACAACCATACTGTACAGTGACACCCTGGGAAGCCCTATGACCCACTTGTGTTGACAGAGGGCACCTCTCACAGCCTGACCCCTCCTTACAACCATACTGTACAGTGACACCCTGGGAAGCCCTATGACCTACTTGTGTTGACAGAGGGGCACCTCTCACAGCCTGACCCTCCTTACAACCATACTGTACAGTGACACCCTGGGAAGGCCTATGACCTACTTGTGTTGACAGAGGGGCACCTCTCACAGCCTGACCCCTCCTTACAACCATACTGTACAGTGACACCCTGGGAAGCCCTATGACCTACTTGTGTTGACAGAGGGGCACCTCTCACAGCCTGACCCTCCTTACAACCATACTGTACAGTGACACCCTGGGAAGCCCTATGACCTACTTGTGTTGACAGAGGGGCCTCTCACAGCCTGACCCCTCCTTACAACCATACTGTACAGTGACACCCTGGGAAGCCCTATGACCTACTTGTGTTGACAGAGGGGCACCTCTCACAGCCTGACCCCTCCTTACAACCATACTGTACAGTGACACCCTGGGAAGCCCTATGACCTACTTGTGTTGACAGAGGGGCACCTCTCACAGCCTGACCCCTCCTTACAACCATACTGTACAGTGACACCCTGGGAAGCCCTATGACCTACTTGTGTTGACAGAGGGGCACCTCTCACAGCCTGACCCCTCCTTACAACCATACTGTACAGTGACACCCTGGGAAGCCCTATGACCTACTTGTGTTGACAGAGGGCACCTCTCACAGCCTGACCCCTCCTTACAACCATACTGTACAGTGACACCCTGGGAAGCCCTATGACCTACTTGTGTTGACAGAGGGGCACCTCTCACAGCCTGACCCCTCCTTACAACCATACTGTACAGTGACACCCTGGGAAGCCCTATGACCTACTTGTGTTGACAGAGGGGCACCTCTCACAGCCTGACCCCTCCTTACAACCATACTGTACAGTGACACCCTGGGAAGCCCTATGACCTACTTGTGTTGACAGAGGGGCACCTCTCACAGCCTGACCCCTCCTTACAACCATACTGTACAGTGACACCCTGGGAAGCCCTATGACCTACTTGTGTTGACAGAGGGGCACCTCTCACAGCCTGACCCCTCCTTACAACCATACTGTACAGTGACACCCTGGGAAGCCCTATGACCTACTTGTGTTGACAGAGGGGCACCTCTCACAGCCTGACCCCCATGCAGCTGCCATTGCACAGCAGCACTTGGCCTTGGTTGTCCGAGATACAGTTGGTGTACGCACACAGCGGCCAGCAGTCAAGGATGGGTAGCAGAAGTCTTGACGTCGATCTGTTTCAGAGGAATGTTTTTGATATTTTGTCCCAACTGAAGATGATATTTTATCAACTTTTGACACAGTAATATTTTTGTAGACTTTAGAGTCGACGCTCATTTGGGCAACTAAACTTTTTTAGCCAAATCAACCATCACATAATCTGTTTATGCACAATTTGTTTTCTACAGGAAGAAAACTTATTATCTCAGCAAGTACAGATTTAAAACTGAATAGCATCTCACCAAGACAGGCCCTGCCATTGGCGCTAGGTTCGTAACCACGGTTACACCTGCATCTGTATCCTCCCCTTGTGTTGAGACAGCGACCGTGCTGACATAAACCACGCTGGGTAGCACACTCATTGATATCTGTGAATACAATCAATCAAATTACAGGCACATACATGTGGTAGTCATCTCACCTGAACATTGATCTCTCCAATAACCATCTCATCTGAACATTGATCTCTCCAATAACATCACACCTGAACATTAATCTCTCCAATAACCATCTCACCTGAACATTGATCTCTCCAATAACCTTCTCACTTGAACATTTATCTCTCCAATAACCATCTCACCTGAACATTGATCTCTCCAATAACCTTCTCACCTGAACATTGATCTCTCCAATAACCTTCTCACCTGAACATTGATCTCTCCAATAACCTTCTCACTTGAACATTTATCTCTCCAATAACCATCTCACCTGAACATTGATCTCTCCAATAACCTTCTCACCTGAACATTGATCTCTCCAATAACCTTCTCACTTGAACATTTATCTCTCCAATAACCTTCTCACTTGAACATTTATCTCTCCAATAACCTTCTCACCTGAACATTGATCTCTCCAATAACCTTCTCACTTGAACATTTATCTCTCCAATAACCTTCTCACTTGAACATTTATCTCTCCAATAACCTTCTCACCTGAACATTGATCTCTCCAATAACCATCTCACCTGAACATTGATCTCTCCAATAACATCACACCTGAACATTGATCTCTCCAATAACATCACATCTGAACATTGATCTCAGCAATAACCTTCTCACTTGAACATTTATCTCATGAACATTTATTCTCTCCAATAACCTTCTCACTTGAACATTTATCTCTCAATAACCATCTCACCTGAACATTGATCTCTCCAATAACCATCTCACCTGAACATTGATCTCTCCAATAACCATCTCACCTGAACATTGATCTCTCCAATAACCATCTCACCTGAACATTGATCTCTCCAATAACCTGAACATCTCTCCAATAACCATCTCACCTGAACATTGATCTCAATAACCATCTCACCTGAACTTTGATCTCTCCAATTTCACTGAACATTGATCTCTCCAATAACCTTCTCACCTGAACATCTCTCAATCAACCTTCTCACCTGAACATTGATCTCTCCAATAACCTTCTCACTTGAACATTTATCTCTCCAATAACCTTCTCACCTGAACATTGATCTCTCAATAACCTTCTCACTTGAACATTTATCTCTCCAATAACCATCTCACCTGAACATTGATCTCTCCAATAACCTTCTCACCTGAACATTGATCTCTCCAAAACCTTCTCACTTGAACATTTATCTCTCCAATAACCTTCTCACTTGAACATTTATCTCTCCAATAACCTTCTCACCTGAACATTGATCTCTCCAATAACCTTCTCACTTGAACATTTATCTATCCAATAACCTTCTCACCTGAACATTTATCTCTCCAACAACCTTCTCACCTGAACATTGATCTCTCCAATAACCATCTCACCTGAACATTGATCTCTCCAATAACATCACACCTGAACATTGATCTCTCCAATAACATCACATCTGAACATTGATCTCAGCAATAACCTTCTCACTTGAACATTTATCTCAACAATAACCTTCTCACTTGAACATTTATCTCAACAATAACCATCTCACCTGAACATATGTATGATCTCTCAGACAACCATCTACCTGTACACTTATATCTGAACATTGATCATTAACCTTCTCCTGAACATTGATCTATCCAATAACCATCTCACCTGAACATTGATCTCTCCAATAACCTTCTCACTTGAACATTTATCTCTCCAATAACCTTCTCACCTGAACATTGATCTCTCCAATAACCATCTCACCTGAACATTGATCTCTCCAATAACCATCTCACCTGAACTTTGATCTCTCCAATAACCATCACTCCCATTCTATTAAACAACCAACTCAACTGATAACCAGATTATGTGTACACCTGTATATCAGACAACAAGCTTACCTGTACAGTTATCTAAGCTTACCTGTACACTTATCTATCAGACAACCAGCTTACCTGTACACTTATGTATCAGACAACCAGCTTACCTGTACATTTATGTATCAGACAACCAGCTTACCTGTACACTTATATATCAGACAACCAGCTTACCTGTACACTTATGTATCAGACAACCAGCTTACCTGTACACTTATATATCAGACAACCAGCTTACCTGTACACTTATATATCAGACAACCAGCTTACCTGCACACTTGTGTATAAGACAACCAGCTTACCTGTACATTTATCTATCAGACAACCAGTTTACCTGTACACTTATCTATCAGACAACCAGCTTACCTGTACACTTATGTATGTACACTTATGTATCAGACAACCAGCCAGCTTACCTGTACACTTATGTATCAGACAACCAGCTTACCTGTACACTTATGTATCAGACAACCAGCTTACCTGTACACTTATGTATCAGACAACCAGCTTACCTGTACACTTATATATCAGACAACCAGCTTACCTGTACACTTATGTATCAAATAAGCAACCCACCTGCACACTGATCCATGCCGACCTGTTTGAATCCCTCCGGGCAGACACAGAGAAAGGAGCCAATGATGTTCTTACAGTCATATTTACAGTTGTTGGCTGGGGTCAAACACTCATCCACATCTGGAACAGTCATTTCGAAGTGAGATACCTTGTGTCAGTACCTTTTATGGAACCTTTCAACAGTAAAGTGTAATATGTTTCTTTGTGATAAGATTTAACATTGTTTGCATATCTACCCCTTCGTCACTCACCTTCACAATGGACGCCGTCGTCAGCCACCCTGTATCCCATGGGACACACGCAGCGGAAAGACCCAGGAATGTTCAAACAGCGGAAAGCACAGGAATTCAATGGACTGCTACATTCATCCACATCTACAAGATGAAAAACTCATATTTCACTGTACAAAATTATACATAAAGTTAAAAATAAAAAAATAGAATATGTCTCAGATACTTTTTATAGACTACATTTTAGATATCATACACAATAATCACAGAATACCTTTTGAATATCTTTAGCAATCAGCAAACTGGTTTTACATTATATGTTTGCCATTTTATGGCTCAGTACCAAACTGTCATCAGTTTTACTTCAAGACATAGCTGTATTACAGCATATGGAATGTTCTGAAGTTTTTATAGGTTTCACGTTTAGCAAGGAACTGGTACCTTCACATGTCTCATGGGGCCCTGCAGCAAAGCCCTGCCTGCAGGAACACTGGAAGCTGCCTTCTGTATTGGTGCAGGTACCATTACCACACATGAATGCATCCTGACACTCGTTCGCATCTGCAGTGGGAACATTTAACTTGTGGAAATAATTACAATAATCATATTAAAAAAGTTCAGATAGTTTTATTCATTTGATTTCTTCTTCGCATAGCCATTTCATAAAACAAAAAATAGAATTAGCAGGCCCAATCATTTTCTGTAACTTCTTTGCGTGGCATTTTAAAAGTTGGGAAAAGCTTTATGAAGAACAACTTCTTTCATGTCGTAAGTGTGATGTTTCGATACAGATGCTAGTGCTGTTGCCATTTATCTGCATGTGTTAACTTTGAATTCAATCTACACAATTCTAATTGGTCAGAGAATTCAATCTACTCAATTCTAATTGGTCAGAGAATTCAATCTACTCAATTCTAATTGGTCAGAGAATTCAATCTACACAATTCTAATTGCCATCTGATGTTTTCAGAAAAAGGTTTTCTTTCACAATCATTGTTGGCATTGTTAAAATACATCCATGGTATGTCTTTTTCCTGAATACGTGCTGTGCTACTTACCGATACAAACCAGTCCTGTGCTGTCCAGGGTGTAGCCAGCACGACACTCGCACCGGAATGAACCATCCGTGTTGACACAGATACCATTCACACATACACCGGGGAACTTCAAACACTCATTCATATCTGAAAAGAAACACCATCTTTTTCACTTCTGTGCCATATTTGTTTATGAAACATTATCTAAAATAAATGGGTTTTTAAAAAAAATATGAAAAATTTCGACATTGTCATGTTTATCCACCATCCATCTCTGTATTGACCATTCCTGATACACAACACTACTCACCTGTCATTAAAGGGGAGGTGGGGTAGCCAAGTGGTTTAAGCGTTCACTTGTCACATTGAAGACCTGGGTTTGATTCTGCATATGTGTGAAGCTCATTTCCGGTGTCCCCTACCATGATATTGCTGGAATATTGCCAAAAGCAGCGTAAAACCAAACTCACTCACTCACCTGTCATGAACTTCCCTGGAGTAATAACATAACCTTGACCTTGAGGACATAGGAATTCATAGCCAGCTGAAACACAGATGAAAGAAAACAATAGGTACAGAAGCCTCCAAATCCATTCAGTTAATGATACTGAGTATATATGTGAGAAACATATATGGTTAACTGATAAATAAAACAGAAGATTACCTTCTCCAGCACGAGGACACACCTCACAGTCAGAGTACGCTCCCCACGCCTGGCCCATGGAACAACAACAGTCAGCCTTTGTCATATTGAGTGGCTTCGGGGCCAGACAGCGGCCATTGTCAAACCGAGAGAAGCAGAGTCCACTTCTCACATCTGAAAAATGATGCTGAGGAACTGTTAGTCTGTCCTGCAAGGCATGGGTAATTTTTTTAAATTTTCCTTCTACCCAACCCTTACTATAATGCTAAGTCCTATATGTGGCATGTTTAGATTGGCGGAGGTTTCAAATCTCTCATGGGACTCAATTGTAGTTTTTTATCTATAAATGTTATATATTCTCATTAACTAAGCACTAGTCTAGGGAATCCTTGCTGGTTTTGATCGAAATGCTAAAAATGTCCATGCAAGACAAAATAATAGCTTTAAGCTTCTGAGTAAGTAATATGGCGGTAATGTTTAAGAAACTTAATTTGTAAATGCCATTGTTGTGTAACATTTCCTACCAAAATATCTGCGCCCTGAGATTGGTGGTTTTAAAGAAGAAAACACTTTCCAAACAACTTGAAGAATGGATATTGTTTTAAGTTTCATACAGTGCTAGATCTATATTTCATCCAGTGTCAACCCTCTTGGCTTTGTTGTTTTTTAAATGAATATTTTCAAAAACTATTAAAATTAAATTTTTACAAATTCTCATTTTTGCAGACCCACTTAGATAGAAGAAGTCACAAAGAAAAGTTTGGGTTAAAAATTCTGTCTCTGAGCAAGATGACGTTATGCAACCAAGCAGAATGTTGACCTCACCTCTGCACTTCTGCCCGTCCTGGCTGAGGACATAACCTGGAGGACAGGTACAGACAAATCCACCAACAGTGTTGCGGCAATCCCCGTTGTAGCAGATGTTGGAGATAGTGCGGCATTCATTCACATCTGGAACAGAGAGGAAGAACAGTGATGCCAACATGTCTTACGATGTGAGTTTCAGATTCTGATGATTCACATTCAAGCCCTGAACTTGCAAACACATTCGTTCCCTTAGTACTCTCACACATATTCACCTCATTGTACTCATTTACACATTCAACTCCTGTACTCACACACACATTCACCATCATACATTCAAAAACATATTCACCACCCTGTATTCACCCACACATTCACCATCCTGTATTCACCAACACATTCACCATCCTGTATTCACCCACACATTCAACCATGTATTTACCCACACATTCACCATCCTGTATTCACCCACACATTAACCACCTTGTATTCACTCACATTCACCATCCTGTATTCACCAACACATTCACCACCCTGTATTCACCCATATTCACCACCCTGTATTCACCCACACATTCACAATCCTGTATTCACCCACACATTAACCACCTTGTATTCACCCACATTCACCATCCTGTATTCACCCACACATTCACCACCCTGTATTCACCCACATTCACCATCCTGTATTTACCCACACATTCACCACCCTGTATTCATCCACACATTTACCACCCTGTATTTACCCACACATTCACCACACTGTATTTACCCACACATTCACCACCCTGTATTTACCCACACATTCACCACCCTGTATTCATCCACACATTCACCATCCTGTATTTACCCACATATTCACCACCCTGTATTCACCCACACATTCACCACCCTGTATTCACCCACACATTTACCACCCTGTATTCACCCACACATTCACCATCCTGTATTCACCCACATTCGCCACCCTGTATTTACCCACACATTCACCGCCCTGTATTTACCCACACATTCACCACCCTGTATTTACCCACACATTCACCACCCTGTATTTACCCACACATTCACCACCCTGTAATCACCCACACATTCACATCCTGTACTCGCCAACACATTCAACCCTTGTACTCACCAACACATTCAACCCTTGTACTCACCAACACATTCATCCCCCCTGCGAGACTTCTGGAAGCCTTCTAAACACTGACATAAGTAGGACCCCTCAGTGTTCTGGCAGGTGCCCCGCCTGCAGGTCCCACTGATCTCTGCACACTCGTCAATATCTGAAATGTACAAGAGGTAGAGGAGTATTGATTTCTTAATGGCCACATGGCAAATACATTCACTTTGAATGAATGATGCACATTTGGAACACAAATCATTTAAATTCAGCAATAATGTTATGTGTCATCTAAGAAATTTGTGCAGTAAAAATCAACTGCTTATTATCAAGAATTATTGACAGACTGGTCAACAATACTGAAACTCAGAAAGTCAAGAAAATCCCCCATCTTTATACTGATATATTATCATTGGCTCAGACTTTAATCAGGACATTGCAAGAATTCTTTCATGATTTATGGTCTCTTCACCAAATCTAGATATGTTGAGAACATAAAACAAACATAAAACCTGAAGCACATTTTGACACCTGGACCTGGCCTACCTCTACAGTTCTGTCTGTCAGAAGACTCAGTGTAGCCTGTCTGACACTGGCACCGGAAACTGCCAAGTGTGTTCTGGCAGCGGCCATTCTGACAGATCCCCATCAGCATACGACACTCATCCATATCTGGGGAGAAAGTGCCACAAAACATCACGCAAAAACTTGCAAAATCAGACTTTATGTAAATACACAATGCCATTTAGAAAGTGGTCAAATGTCACATAGGAGTCAAATTTGAGGTTGTATGTTTGAATCCCGGATGGGACTCGACCCAACAAAAGTACTAGAATCTGTAATCCCAAATATAACATATGTTACGTTGGATTTTATATAATTTAAAACATTAGAAACATTGACAGTGAAATGATTATATATATTACCAACGCAGTCTCCCGTCTCTGTAACCTGGAATCCACCATTGCAGGTACACCTGAAGCTGCCGATTGTGTTGTGACAAGTTCCGTTCCTACACCGCCCCGGCCATGCCTGGCATTCATCAATATCTGGAAGAGGTAGCATGGAGGTGAAGGTTCATACAGTTGGGTTCAGGAACTTGCTGATGACAAAACTGACAGGTGAGATTAGGTAAGGTAGAATGGAGTTTAAGATTGTTTCTTTGATAGTGAGAGGCATACATATGTGTGCCATTCTGTACCGGTCACTGAGGTACCATGCCGCTCTTTAACGTAGATACCATACTCAGACGCATCAGACTGACTCCGAGCCAACCTGTCCTTGTTTAATCCCATAATTCCATGTAATTCCAGGGTAACAACAAATACCATCTCATACCATCGCTTGGTACGACAGGCCAGTTTGTTTTTTGGCTAGGATTTGTATTTTATGCGGGGGTTAAGATCACCATACTTTACTGTAGTTGGACATGTAATTATTTAAGCATCTCATCATTCTTCTAACCGCCTACGTGGTGTAGTGGTTAGAGCGTCCGCCCAGGGAGCGGAATGGTTAGCGGGTTCGATCCCCGACCGCGTCATACCAAAAGACGTTAAAATATGGTACTTGTTGGTCCCTGCCTGGGGCTTAGGCATTAATGGGTACAACAAGGACTGGTCAGCTCGGAGTCAGTATAATGTGTCTGAGTGGGGTATTCATGCTTCACTGTGGCATGGTATCTCAGTGGGCTAGCACCATAAAACCAGCTTAAGTCTGGGCTAGTACAAGCAGCCACACATACACAATTCCACCTCACCTCACCTCATCATTCTTCTTTTCTTGACTTCAACTTTTAATACAGATGTTGTTCAAAAGTATATTGGAATATAAAATATACCTTGTGTCAGATGAAATGGAGAGTAATAAGCTACTTTTCACCAGATATGTAGATGTGTATATTATCATAGGAACTGAATTATGATAACACATGGAACCTCTACTAAGTTGTGGCAGTTGAGGACATACCAGAACAGGAATCTCTTCGTGAAGACAGTCGGAAGCCATCATGGCAGATACAGCTGAAGCTGCCGGCAGTGTTGACACAGTCACCATTGCTACAAACCTCCGGATCCTCCAGACATTCATTTATGTCTGTAATAGAGAGGTCATTTTCATCATAACATGTGTATCACCTCCTCAACCCTCTTTAAATTCTCCTTGGGTAAGTAGATAACATCTGACATGTTGAGATGAGGACAGTACATGTTTAGGAGAGGAAATGAAACAAACATCTGACATAAATATAAACTTATCTCATGTGCAAAGTCATTTGCAACCATGTCTCTTGAAATGTTCAGTTCCATGAAGTCCTGACACTGGTCTTGTACAGTACTGTTGCCTGAGTGGGAGATGTGTGATACCTACCCTGGCAGCTTCTCCGGTCTGGCTTGAGTCTGTACCCATCACCGCAGGAACACTCGTAACTACCCTCCGTGTTCACGCACACAGCATTGCCCACACAGGGTGACAGAGTACCGCGACACTCATCCTCATCTGAAGAGAGAGAGTGAGTGAGTGAGTAAGAGAGAGAGAGAGAGAGAGAGAGAGAGAGAGAGAGAGAGAGAGAGAGAGAGAGAGAGAGAGAGAGAGAGAGAGAGAGAGAGAGAGAGAGAGAGAGAGAGAGAGAGAGAGAGAGAGAGAGAGAGAGAGAGTCAAACCCATGCGCTCTCTAACATATGGCTGAATGATGTAGAATTAAGGCTATAATTATCAGGCTGAAGTTAGAAGGATGTCAGGCAAGGTAAAGTTTGTAGATGTTTACCAAGTTGGTGATACAACTCTGCACTGAGCATGTACACTTGAAAACTGTTAAAGGTGTATATCATTATATTTAAACTCAGATGGAACTAACTGATAAATGTTATTGCCTGTACATCTTCTGTGGTGGTGAACGATGCTTTACCTTCACAAACATGAGTTGTACGGTCGTACTTGTAACCAGGGTAACACTGACATCGGAAACCAGTGTCTGTGTCAATACAACGGCCATTCTCACACAGACTGGGGAGTATCCGGCACTCGTTGATCTCTGTAAAACACAACAATATACACCATCTTTTCTGGGAGTTTGTTAAAAGTGTGACATTATATGTTGTGAGAGATTCATCTTTATAATATGTTTCTTTCCTGACATTAGTTTATGGAAGGAGAAGTGGCTTGATAGAAAGGCTTTGTGTGCAACATTTTGTAAAGTGTGGAGTTATGTAGAGGATCAATGTATATAACACTGTAGACTTACTGTCCATTCCTCCCATAGGGCTTTCCACACAGAGTTGTCTGTATTCCCCTGTAAACAACAAACACAACACAATGTCAGCCATGTGGGGTATTGAACCGGGTACTTTCAGTTCTGGACATGAGGGTGTGTGGAAAAAAGTCCTAAATTTGCCTAGGAAAAAAGTCCTCCGAAAAAAAAGGAATTTTTGAAGTCCCCTTATTTTGAAAAAGGAATATTTGACAGTAGTTTTAGTTTTTCATAGTTTTTCATAGCGTTTATTGACTTTCATGTATTGTATGTTTATACCACAAATGTAAAATAGACAGATCCTGTATACATTACAGAGGTTTTCAACTTTAATTACTACTACAGAATAATGATGATTGTAAACCAATAGTGAGTGCTTTCCGCAATCTGATTGGTTAATTACCCTTGTCGAATATTGTTCGACATACCTGAAAATGATGGCCTAATAACTGCACATTAATACGTTGGCTCTAATACCGTACTATTTTCGCTGCATGAATTTGCATGAGGAACATTACCACCTCAAATTCTTTCTCTGGGATTTTGATACAATCTTTGAAGACGACAAATTCTTGGAAGAATTATTCAAAGATGATGGTGTATACAATCACATGGCACATAATCATATGTGATCAGATAATAGTAAAGTGATTGAAGAGCCATAAAATAATATCCTTCAATGATGTTTATTCACAAATGACTTGTATTCATTGTAATGTTTACTACCACGCCATACAGCATAGGTCTGGGATGTCATTTCAGACACGTGGTGGAAACATAGGGGGCACCCTTCTATCCGTTATAATCACAAAATGTATGTACTTCATGTTTCTAAATGTCATTTAAAAGATCAAAGACTTATGTATATATTGAATGCTTCCTTTTAATCACCCTTTGTATGTGAGTACTTCATGTTTTTATAAGTGTCATTAAAAAGATAAAAGATCAATTTATCTATTTAATAACCCATATGTGTGTGTTATAACAAAATTTCTAAAGTATTTGACATCAAAGTTGATGAATAAATAGGTTTTTATTACAATAGTACTTTTTTCCGGTACTTTTTTTACCAAGGACTTTTTTTCCGCGGACTTTTTTTCCTAGTTATAGTTATATCGTTTATTCATTCTTTAGGCCATCGGCCCATGTACATCATTGAACATTAATATATGATGATATAGTGAAAGTGACAATGATTATACATTGCGGAGAGGCAAACAATGTTTAACATATTTTGCTACATTTAGAATAATTTCATGATCTTTACTGCATACTAGTAACTTGTAAGAATAAGTAGTAGGGTTATCAGAAAATCTAGATGGTATATATTTTCTCCTGTTACTTTTTTTCCTACAATCGTTTGGAGTCTAGCTAGGCTCTTGTCAGGAAAAGCAAGTGCTTTACCACTGGGCCTCTATTGATGCTTTAATATTGAAATTTCAAGCATAACCAACTGGACACTACTAGTGTCTATCACTGATTAACCATGCATAATCATAATATTCTCTATTAAAATGATAGATCAAGAACTGATATCACTATTAACGTGGACATACCTATGCAAAGTTAGCATCACTTATGTGTGTTTCTCATTGGGCAAGGCTACTACTGGCATCACTTATGTGTGTTTCTCATTGGGCAAGGCTACTACTGGCATCACTTATGTGTGTTTCTCATTGGGCTAGGCTACTACTGGCATCACTTATGTGTGTTTCTCATTGGGCAAGGCTACTACTGGCATCACTTATGTGTGTTTCTCATTGGTCTAGGCTACTACTGGCATCACTTATGTGTGTTTCTCATTGGGCTAGGCTACTACTGGCATCACTTATGTGTGTTTCTCATTGGGCAAGGCTACTACTGGCATCACTTTATGTGTTTCTCATTGCCAGGCTACTAATAGCATCACTTATGTGTGCAAGGCTACTACTGGCATCACTTATGTGTGTTTCTCATTGGGCTAGGCTACTAATAGCATCACTTATGTGTGTTTCTCATTGGGCAAGGCTACTACTGGCATCACTTATGTGTGTTTCTCATTGGGCTAGGCTACTGCTGGCATCACTTATGTGTGTTTCTCATTGGGCTAGGCTACTACTGGCATCACCTATGGGTTTTTTTCAGTGGGCAAGGCTACTAATAGCATCACTTACAGGTGTTCCTCAGTAGGCAAGGCTACTACTAGCATCACTTATGTGTGTTCCTCTGTGGGTAAACCTACTAATAGCATCACTTATGTGTGTTCCTCAGTGGGCAGGGCTACTAATAGCATCACTTATGTGTGTTCCTCAGTGGGCAAGGCTACTAATAGCATCACTTATGTGTGTTCCTTAGTGGGCAGGGCTACTAATAGCATCACTTACAGGTGTTCCTCAGTGGGTAAAGCTACTAATAGCATCACTTATGTGTGTTCCTCAGTGGGCAAGGCTACTAATAGCATCACTTACAGATGTTCCTCAGTGGGTAAAGCTACTAATAGCATCACTTATGTGTGTTCCTCAGTGGGTAAAGCTACTAATAGCATCACTTATGTGTGTTCCTCAGTGGGCAAGGCTACTAATAGCATCACTTACAGGTGTTCCTCAGTGGGTAAACCTACTAATAGCATCACTTATGTGTGTTCTTCAGTGGGCAAGGCTACTAAAAGCATCACTTAGGTGTGTTCCTCAGTGGGTAAAGCTACTAATAGCATCACTTACAGGTGTTCCTTAGTGGGTAAACCTACTAATAGCATCACTTATGTGTGTTCCTCAGTGGGTAAAGCTACTAATAGCATCACTTACAGGTGTTCCTCAGTGGGTAAAGCTACTAATAGCATCACTTATGTGTGTTCCTCAGTGGGCAAGGCTACTAATAGCATCACTTAGGTGTGTTCCTCAGCAGGTAAAGCTACCAATAGCATCACTTATGTGTGTTCCTCAGTGGGTAAACCTACTAATAGCATCCCTAAAGGGTGTTCCTCAGTGGCCAAGGTTACTACTGGCATCACTTATGTGTGTTCTTCAGTGGGCAAAGCTACTAATAGCATCACTTATGGGTGTTCCTCAATGGGCAGGGCTACTAATAGCATCACTTACAGGTGTTCCTCAGTGGGTAAAGCTACTAATAGCATCACTTATGTGTGTTCCTCAGTGGGCAAGGCTACTAATAGCATCACTTATGTGTGTTCCTCAGTGGGCAAGGCTACTAATAGCATCACTTACAGGTGTTCCTCAGTGGATAAAGCTACTAATAGCATCACTTATGTGTGTTCCTCAGTGGGCAGGGCTACTAACAGCACCCCTTACGGGTGTTCCTCAATGGGCAGGGCTACTAATAGCATCACTTAAGGGTGTTCCTCAGTGGGCAGGGCTACTAACAGCATCACTTACGGGTGTTCCTCAGTGGGCAGGGCTACTAATTGAACTCATCACTTACGGGTGTTCCTCAGTGGGCAGGGCTACTAATAGCATCACTTACGGGTGTTCCTCAGTGGGCAGGCCTCGCATGGACCATTCCAGGCAACACCAATGGTACAGCAGCACTGTCTCTTGGTCAGCTGTTTGGACATGGGCTTCTCACAGATTAGATGATATGGTGGCCGTGTTGTGTTGAGGTACTCCATGTAGCAGTTGCCCTTCCTCATATCTGGAACAGATCAACACACAACACCTTGTCAGTATCATGTAACGTACATATACTTCCTCAAGTCTGAAATAAACATATACCTTGTGTGGTTATGAAACAGATACAACATGTAAATATCATACTTGATTTATATACAGACCCTCCTGCTTAGATGAAATGTATACATGACATCTTGTCAATATGACATAGGTAGTGTATATACACCCTCCTGCTTAGATGAAATGTATACATGACATCTTGTCAATATGACATAGGTAGTGTATATACACCCTCCTGCTTAGATGAAATGTATACATGACATCTTGTCAATATGACATAGGTAGTGTATATACACCCTCCTGCTTAGATGAAATGTATACATGACATCTTGTCAATATGACATAGGTAGTGTATATACACCCTCCTGCTTAGATGAAATGTATATTGTCAATATGACATAGGTAGTGTATATACACCCTCCTGCTTAGATGAAATGTATACATGACATCTTGTCAATATGACATAGGTAGTGTATATACACCCTCCTGCTTAGATGAAATGTATACATGACATCTTGTCAATATGACATAGGTAGTGTATATACACCCTCCTGCTTAGATGAAATGTATACATGACATCTTGTCAATATGACATAGGTAGTGTATATACACCCTCCTGCTTAGATGAAATGTATACATGACATCTTGTCAGTATGACATAGGTAGTGTATATACACCCTCCTGCTTAGATGAAATGTATACATGACATCTTGTCAATATGAAATAGGTAGTGTATATACACCCTCCTGTTTAGATGAAATATATACAAGGCATCTTGTTAATATCACATAGGTAGTGTATATACACTCTCCTATTTAGATGAAAACTGCACATAACATATTGTCACTTAACTAGTTGAGATGACATGCTGGCCTAATGTCAGTATGTAAAGAATATTATTCAATTCTTACCAAGACAGTCACGGCCACCATCCATGGGTTCGTAGCCTACGGGACAGATGCATGTGTAGTTGCCCGGGGTGTTGACACACTCACCCCTGCCACACTTCCTGGGCCCCGTCCGACACTCATCAATATCTGCAGCATAGCAGTATAGATATGTAAGTAAACATGTACTCCCTGCAGTTTACAAACAGTGGCATGCAGGATTTACTGTGGACCTGGAGGCTATTGCCAAACAATATATGTGACAGTCCTAGTGACCATTGCTGATATAGCACTGATACAGCAGCATCAGCTTTTATCATAGTTCCATAGAGAGGAAAGCTGTTCTGTAAGAACTGTAATGTGTTCTTCACTGGAGGAACAATGGCAAACACAACATTTGATTTGTATATGACCTGTAAACAGATATCACTGAATTCATCAGCATTCACAACTTCTTGTCTGTGGATAACGTACCATGACCTGACAAATAATCTGGTTTATAATATTGATTTCAACAATAATTTTCTTTGGATGTAAAGGCAATATTTATTTTGTATTAATTGCTTTACAGAATCTTGCATGAAAAATTACAGTTTGTATTTGGGAGAAAAAAATATAACATGACGTAATATATTTATTTACATTTTTCAAAATGTCATTTGCATATGTGTACCAATTGGTTTAAGGCGTTTCGTCAGTCTTGCAGTTAAATGGTTTAGAAGGTATATGAGAAGGAAGCTAGTGTCAGGAGTGCTTGGTATATAAGGAGGGTGGTTAGTGCCAGGAGTGGTAGGTATATCATTATCAGAATAGGTAATATGTCAGAAGCATAAGTAACATACGTTCAGTGACAAAGAGAGGACAATGGACAATTGATCGTACCCACACATCGGTGCTTGGTGCTGTCCAGCTCTAAACCCTCGGGACACACGCACACATAGCTGCCAAATGTGTTCTGACATCGGCCTCCATCACAGACATCGTCCACTTCAGCGCACTCGTCAATATCTGCATCATCAACCACCACATTATAGAAGTCATACAGCTGCTCACATGTCCAAAGAAACATTGGTCAATTCTTATTTCTTTTACCTTTTTAATTTATGTATTTTCTTTTAAATATAGATCAATCTAGACTACATACATTTCAAAATTGTTAATTTTCCAAAATAATTTCAGAATGTGTAAAAATGACAGCAGATTCCACTGATGATTGTGTCCATCGTGTGTTGAGCATCCACATACCTTCCACCACCAGTGTGATGGTGTTGGGCCTAAACCCTGGGCCTCCGGGACACAGAGCATTGTATTCACCTGCAACACACACAGGTTGTCAAGGACCATGACTGGAGGCAGGTAGAACTTTCTGCTAGGTAAGTCTGCTGAATTCTTGTACATACATTTAAACATATGTTTTGATCAGTTCATCCATCATGTCAGACATTCAATCTGTCATGATAGATAAATACACACAAACCAGAGATCAGTCAGTTTTTGTAATTTCAATGTGCTATGATTAGATTGAGTAAATCTATGAATTCCAGTGGTATTTATATGATTTACAATGGTCTAAATGTTATTTGCTTAGCCAATAGCAAGCAGAAAAGAAATAAAAAAATACTACGATGTGGGAAATGAAACTCCTTATACCAGTAAACGTAAATGTTTAAAACATCCAGACAAGAGAAAAGAGGTTGTTACAACTCACTTGTTCCATTCCTGGGGCATATCTCACACAGCCCGGGGACATCCCCCCAGCCCTTCCCCACAGTACAGCAGCAGGTTGCCCGTGATATATCCACCGCGATCGAGTCAGTACACACCACCATGCGGCCTCCACGGGAAAACTGGGGAACACCCATATAGCAAGAGCCCAGTCTCTTGTCTGGAGATACAAGGACATGGTGTATTACTTGTCTGGAGATACATAGACATGGTGTATTACTTGTCTGAAGATACAAGGACATGGTGTATTGCTTGTCTGGAGATACAAAGACATGGTGTATTGCTTGTCTGGAGAGACAAGGACATGGTGTATTACTTGTCTGGAGAGACAAGGACATGGTGTATTGCTTGTCTGGAGATACAAGGACATGGTGTATTGCTTGTCTGGAGATACAAGGACATGGTGTATTACTTGTCTGGAGATACAAGGACATGGTGTATTACTTGTCTGGAGAGACAAGGACATGGTGTATTGCTTGTCTGGAGAGACAAAGACATGGTGTATTACTTGTCTGGAGATACAAGGACATGGTGTATTACTTGTCTGGAGATACAAGGACATGGTGTATTGCTTGTCTGGAGAGACAAGGACATGGTGTATTACTTGTCTGGAGATACAAGGACATGGTGTATTACTTGTCTGGAGAGACAAGGACATGGTGTATTGCTTGTCTGGAGATACAAGGACATGGTGTATTACTTGTCTGGAGATACAAGGACATGGTGTATTACTTGTCTGGAGAGACAAGGACATGGTGTATTGCTTGTCTGGAGATACAAGGACATGGTGTATTACTTGTCTGGAGATACAAGGACATGGTGTATTACTTGTCTGGAGAGACAAGGACATGGTGTATTACTTGTCTGGAGAGACAAGGACAAGGACTTGTCTGGAGATACAAGGACATGGTGTATTGCTTGTCTGGAGAGACAAGGACATGGTGTATTACTTGTCTGGAGAGACAAGGACATGGTGTATTACTTGTCTGGAGGACAAGGACATGGTGTATTGCTTGTCTGGAGAGACAAGGACATGGTGTATTACTTGTCTGGAGATACAAGGACATGGTGTATTACTTGTCTGGAGAGACAAGGACATGGTGTATTACTTGTCTGGAGAGACAAGGACATGGTGTATTACTTGTCTGGAGAGACAAGGACATGGTGTATTGCTTGTCTGGAGAGACAAGGACATGGTGTATTGCTTGTCTGGAGATACAAGGACATGGTGTATTACTTGTCTGGAGATACAAGGACATGGTGTATTACTTGTCTGGAGAGACAAGGACATGGTGTATTGCTTGTCTGGAGAGACAAGGACATGGTGTATTACTTGTCTGGAGATACAAGGACATGGTGTATTACTTGTCTGGAGAGACAAGGACATGGTGTATTACTTGTCTGGAGATACAAGGACATGGTGTATTACTTGTCTGGAGATACAAGGACATGGTGTATTACTTGTCTGGAGATACAAGGACATGGTGTATTACTTGTCTGGAGATACAAGGACATGGTGTATTGCTTGTCTGGAGATACAAGGACATGGTGTATTACTTGTCTGGAGAGACAAGGACATGGTGTATTACTTGTCTGGAGATACAAGGACATGGTGTATTACTTGTCTGGAGATACAAGGACATGGTGTATTACTTGTCTGGAGATACAAGGACATGGTGTATTACTTGTCTGGAGATACAAGGACATGGTGTATTGCTTGTCTGGAGATACATTGACATGGTGTATTACTTGTCTGGAGATACAAGGACATGGTGTATTGCTTGTCTGGAGAGACAAGGACATGGTGTATTACTTGTCTGGAGATACAAGGACATGGTGTATTACTTGTCTGGAGAGACAAGGACATGGTGTATTGCTTGTCTGGAGATACAAGGACATGGTGTATTGCTTGTCTGGAGATAAAAGGACATGGTGTATTGCTTGTCTGGAGATACAAAAACATATTGCAAAACCTGTATGGAGATACAATTACATGTCTGAAATAAATACTTGTCTGAATTTGTAACATACATAGTAAACTTCTTTGAACTAGGCCCAGAGGAGAGAGTATGTGTCATAACTAGAGACAAGATATAAAACAATTTCTTTGATCTCTATCAATATATGTTCCATGACCAGTTGTATTTTTAATTGTTTCTTTTTGATAAAAAGCCTATAAGTTACCACTGATTCATACTAAAAGATGATGAAAGTAAATATGGGCGAAGATGACGGCATCATGATTTCATTCAAGCCAGATCAATTGTTCCTCTTGTCTCTGGATTACATATTTCTCAGAAGTTGTCAAGGAGGACTTGGGGTCATTCACAACAAGTACGTTTAACTTTCACATCAGCAACATATAAATCAGGCTATATCTTAAGAAATATCAGTTTGAGAAATGGTGTGTTGTTCATTTCCTGAACAAAGGCACTATAAATAAAAGTAAAAAAAAAAAAAAGTAGTTAGAATAACAACATTAAGATAAGATTTAAAGTCACATCGGCAATATTTCAGCCATAACGTGACTAAAAGAAATTCTATATTCATGATAAATACATAATTTATTAAACTCTGTCAATGAAGGACAGTAAAATGACTAGATTATCATAAAATGGGTTAAAAATAGCTAGCATATATCTTAAAATGTAGACAACTATTTTGGACAATACATTGTGAAAATGAGCTATTTATCTCCAACAACTGAAGGTAGATCACCATACTAGGGTCCATGTGAACTTACATTACTTTTGCTACCTGCATGGACCATAGCTGGATTTACACTATCCCTTCAGCCACTGGCGTTTATGCTGAAATTTAGCTATACATAAAAATGACAAAAATACTATGATTAAAAACCTGGTACACTCAAATTTACTTCAAATATTTTGGTACTTACGTACGTATTGTTTAAAAATATGTTTAACTTTTGCAGAATTTAAGGCTGATTAATCCATAATCCTTGCATACATGTTCTGTGATCAAATGTGGAATGAGTTAGAAACACTAAATACAGTGGAAATTCTCACCTACACATCCTGTGCCAGTGGGGTTGAGTTCATAATCTGGAGGACACTGACACAGGTAGCCTCCCTGCGTGTTGACACAGGTGCCATACTGACAGTTGTCTATGTTCTGACACTCGTCGATGTCTGAAATGTACAATACACACAGTGGCATAACAGCTCCATCACGTTGAAACAACACAGAAATGAAACAACACAGTGGCATCAGAATTGAAACAACACAGAAATGTACAATACACACAGTGGCATCAGAGCTCCATCACTTTGAAACAACACAGAAATGTATAAAATTAATATCAAATATAATGCAGTATAAGTTAAAGAGGCCTATGTCTAAAATATGCCTCGTGTCGGAAAGCACACATAAAATCTTGAAATCATCATCAGTAAAGTAGACTGACTCAGACCTACCGGTACAGTTTCCTCCTGAGTTGTCAAGCTGGTAACCTTGGTTACAGACACATCGGAACATTCCAAACACATTTTCACAGCGGCCATTGACACATAAGTTGTGGAACATGTCACATTCATTGATATCTGGAAACAGGCATTAAGTGTTTGACTACTGGAGTCATCATATACACTGTTTAAAACATACCTCATCGCAAACATTGGCTTTTGTATAAAAAGGGTGACACTTATGATGAAGAAAATTCACACTGATAAACATTTTTTGGAAAAATAACATCATTAGCATAGGCAATACCTTTTTACTTCTGTGACTGACTTTTGAAGAATGTTTAATCACCTTACCAGAACCAGTATGTATAAAATCTTGCTTACCGACACAGGCGTGTTCATCCTCAGTGGGGGCAAATCCCATGTCACATTCACACCGGAATCCTCCTGGGTAGTTGTAGCACTGACCGTTCTCACACAGCGTCACATCCAAGCTGCACTCATCAGCGTCTAATAAGAGAGAATTGCCACTTATGATTTGGACACTCTAACCTATTGAAGTCCCAAACTTCAGAATACCATGAGCTCCTCAATCCTCTACAGCAGCATGTTTAGAACACATGAATTCCCTTTCTTTAGTACACCCTAAATTCCCCTACTTATGTACACATCATACTTCTGTCCAACACGAACTCACCTGATTAAGTACACCTCAAACTCCCCCATTTTAGTACATCCTAAACTCCCACACTTTATTACACAATCAACTCCCCCACTTTGGTACACCCTAAACATCCCCACTTTGGTACATCCTAAACTCACCCACTTTGGTACACCCTAAACTTCCCCACTTTGGTACACCCTAAACTTCCCCACTTTGGTACACCCTAAACTTCCCCACTTTGGTACACCCTAAACTTCCCCACTTAAGTACACCCTAAACTTCCCCACTTAAGTACACCCTAAACCCCTCCACTTAAGTACACCCTAAACCCCTCCTCCTGGTATGCCACATATCTCTCAACGTCTGTATGGTCATTAGTTATAGGGGTCAAGGTGGGTCCGAGACTCAGGAAAGAGTCTCCTAAAATGCACATATTTCTGGAGGGTCATGACAGAAATGAACATTTTATGAGACATAAAGTAAGTTTGCTTTCAGTCTCATCAGGACAGAAGGAGGGTCATCCAAAACTATGACAAGCATTTGGGACGTTCCATATTTTCAGTCCATTAGTCTATCTCAAACCTCTCCCCCTCCTTCCTATTATAGATGACTGGTCACTTTGTACACCCCAAACATAATGACGTTAGTACAAACCAAACTCACCTGCCTCAGTTCACCCCCACCCCGTGAAGTATTATAATGTTTAGATTATAGACAGTCAGACTCTAGTTTTACCCATGAGTTATATCTACTGACCGATGCACTGGAAGCCATCACCAGAGAAGCCTTCATCACAGACACAGCGGAAACTGCCTGGCATGTTGATGCAGGCTGCATCACGGTCACATCCACCATTTGCCCGGATACACTCATTGGCATCTGTTACAAACACATATCATTGACATGAACTGAATATCTAGGACATTTTATTATTGTTACAATATGTTTTGGATCTGTTGAAAACTTGATCAATCATTTTACAGTCCTGTAACATTCATTCTCAGATCTGTATTTACAAATCATAAATAAGTTTTCTCAAGAGTTGCTTCATGAAAATCTCTCTTAAAAGCCATGAATGAATTCATATTCATTGTCCATTGAAGCATACTTATTATCTCATTCTCATCCTTCAACAGCAAGGTAATACATAGAGGATATTATATGAGTGCCCATGTCATACTATGTTTACGAAACGAGTGCGTTGGTATTTCCCGAGTGAGAGCGAGGGACATACCGATATTTAGGCACGAGTGTCGTAAACATAGTATGATATGGGCATGAATATAATATTCTGTTTATTACTGAAGTCGTCAAATTGAAGAAAATATACCGAAATCTACCTTCAAAAACAGCCTGGCTAGCCCTCGTCGACGCATGTAGATCGCTATGTCACAGAAGAAACGTGACGTCATAGCATTGTTCATGACGTCACGTCACCATGACAAAGTGATATTTTGCCCTAGGGCATCGTATGAAAAATATGAACCCCGATATGTTCGCCCTCGTAGGTAATAAATACTTTTAATACAAAAATTACAATCTCCCACTAAAATGCTCAGTTTTATGCAGCCTGGGTTAAATGTAAACATGAATGAATCTACATGTATCTTGATTCATATTTATTGTCCACTGAAGCATACTCACCCAAACTATCTCATCCTTTTTCACTATTTTAGCAAGGTAATACATATTCTTAATACGAACATTACAATCCCCCACTAAAATGTATTGTATTTTTCTATGCTCAGTTTTATTCAGCCTGCGGTAAATGTAAACATATTTAGGGCATGTATGGAATCCTTAAATGTCACATTTTCGTTTCTAGTGAAAGTATACGTGTATGTATACCTCTACATGTGAATCCATCTCCTGTGAAGCCGGGCTTGCAGTCACACTTGAAGGAGCCTCTGGTGTTGATACAGACAGCATTACTGTCACACACGTTACCCTCCAGACACTCGTCGTCATCTACGCAGCATCCCCAAACAAAAACATTGGATTCCTGCAAGTCTTTGGCCAGAATATATGGCATCACAATGGCAAAGTGGAAGTTCATTTTACCCATTTCATTACTATTGGTACAGTATATGGAGGCTGATGCTTTAAATATGTTGATAAAACAGTTAATTCTACTCATGATGTAAGGTGGTCAAAAATCTACCTGCTTTCAAAGCATCACTCTGGTAGACACCAATACTATTGAACCCACAAAGATCCGGGTTAGAATTGATCTTCAGTAACCCATGCTTGTCGTAAGAGGCGACCAACAGGATTGGGTGGTCAAGCTCGCTGACATGGTGGACACATGTCATTGTATCCCAACTGCGTAGATCGATGCTCATGCTGTTGATCACTGGATTGTCTGGTCCAGACTCGATTATTTACAGACCGCCGCCATATAGCTGGATTATTGCTGAGTGCAGTGTTAAACAACGACCCAACCAACCAACCAACTATTCAACAGCTAGAATAGACTGCCCAAATTCCTCACAGTAGCCCCCAGAGTAGCCCCCAGTAAGTGACAGACTGGGCCAGTACCTGTACATCCTGGGTTGCCAGTCTCCTGTTTGACGGAGAAGCCAGTGTCACACTTGCAGGAGAAGGAGCCTTGTGTGTTCTGACAGACGCCAGTCATACACAGGTTCTTGTTCAGCTGGCACTCATCCACATCTACAAATAACAAAATACCACACTCTGCAGACAGGAGACATGGTGTTGAATGGAATCTAACTATTTGAACAGAGTGCACATTATTTGTCCTAGGTTAGTCTACAACAATATAAGAGAAAATTAGAAGAGGTGTATTCAAACAGATCTCTTTGAGCCCTTTAATAAAACTGGAAAGTCAGTAGCTCAAGAAAACATGGGTTTTAATACATATCAACGTGCATCTCCCTTGACAAGGACATATATCCAGACATATTCACATCAGCAAAAACACATAGACACATTCACAGAGACATGATACATATCCAGGCACTAGACAAAAACCATGACACCAAGAAACATAGCCTGAAACGTTCACAGAGCCTGAAACACACCCAGACGCTAGATAAAAAACTTGACACAAAGCCACATAGCCTTAAACCTTCACCGAGACCAAGACACATATCCAGACACTAGACAAAATCCATGACACAAAGCCACATAGCCTTAAACCTTCACCGAGACCAAGACACATATCCAGACACTAGACAAAATCCATGACACAAAGCCACATAGCCTTAAACCTTCACCGAGACCAAGACACATATCCAGACACTAGACAAAATCCATGACACAGCCAAAGCCACATAGCCTTAAACCTTCACCGAGACCAAGACACATATCCAGACACTAGACAAAATCCATGACACAAAGCCACATAGCCTTAAACCTTCACCGAGACCAAGACACATATCCAGACACTAGACAAAATCCATGACACAAAGCCACATAGCCTTAAACCTTCACCGAGACCAAGACACATATCCAGACACTAGACAAACTCCATGACACAAAGCAGAGACAAAGACAAATATATCCAACCAGCTACATAACCAGACACATTCACATCCACACTCAAACACACCAACCTGACTGAGGCACTGTTTCTTCTCCAGACACTTCTCCAAGGACAAAGGAAGATACATGGGCACAATGACAAATACTCAGACACACATATCCACCAGACACACAGAATTATGAACAGACAGGAAAAAGACACATGCTGGGTCACAAAGGCACCAGCCTGGACACAAAGACACATACCCAGACATTCCATGTGAAAAAACAAATGTTCAGACACATTCACAGGGACAAAGATTCATGTCCAGACACAAAGAGACTTTACTAAGAAAGTGTAATCCCAAATATAACATATGTTACATTTGATCACTTTCTAAAAGACACTTGCCAAAACACACAACAAAACACAGGCCTAGACACAAATAGGCACATACCTGGTGACAAAAATACTAACCCAGACACAAAGACACTTACCCAGACACTGCTTCTGGTCCCGAGATGGGGAGAGTCCACCAGTGCATGTGCACCTGTAAGTGCCAGGCTGGTTGATGCAGCGACCTCCTTGACATATGTCAGGTGTTTCTTTACACTCGTCAACATCTATAACATTCCCATCACAACATCCCCAGTAAGACAATGTATTTGAATGGATTTTGACATAAACTGAATGAACTTTGATACTTTTTCTAAACGAGAAAAATATTAATGAATCCACCTATCAATTCATTCAGAAATTAAAATCTAACAAAAAACCCTAACCTTCAGCCTCGAATCATGGTTAGAAATGAGGTGTGAAGTCACCTATTTTTAATAAATATCCAGAGCAGATAAAGTTTTAGCTGACAAAATGGAATTCATAATGATGATTTCATGTTTTTCTTTAAGATTAAACAAAATGCAAGCCCTATTTTGAGTGTACCTATGCAGGTTTTGGCATCTATCATGAGGAGGTAGCCACTTTCACAGCCACAAGAGAAACTGCCAGGAGTGTTGACGCAACGACCCATGCATCCTCCATTACGTTCACGGCATTCATCAATGTCTGGAAGAATACAAAATCCATTGATGTTAAATAGTCCCACATATCATGTTCATATGTACTGGCTATAGAATGACTTGAGAAAATAGTACAGCATAATGCAACTTTCATGTACTGTAAATCATGAAATTAATGCGTCACGAATTTAACGGGACTGAGAGGGTCTAGTCTAAAATGTGTCACGAAATTAATGCAAGCTCAGGAATCTGATGATAAAATGTGACACCCTGAATCTTTGATGTCGCTCATTTTCTTTTCACACTTGTTATCTACCAAATAACCTGAATTGAGCTTGTTAAGCAATGAATGGAAATGAGCTGACGATGTTTTGATTACGCTGCCATGTTTGATCACGTGATTGCTGCCTAAATTGTTGTTATATTCTGTATTGTTATGATGATTGCTAACCTGAAGACAATAAAGATGACAAGACATTTACGTTTTCTGTCTTATATTAAGTTCTCAAAAGTAGACATGGTCAGACTGAAATGCGTCATAATAATTCGAGAAGAGTACAGACGCATTTTTCGCATTAATTTCATGATTTTCAATATATGCAACCTGTATATTCTTCCACTTACTGATATAGCTGTGAAGAGATGCAACATTGCTGATACTTTAGCCAACAATTCTCACTCTCACACACTGGTAAATGGTCATTGTCCACACTCTCACACATCGGTAAATGGTCATTGTCCACGCTCTCATTTCCACCTGATCCCCACAGGGCCTATACAAGTGGATCTGTGACTGGATGATCGTCCCCACCTACCGGTATATCAAATCTTACCAGGAAACCTTTCCAAGGCACTCCCTAGGAAACCAGTTAACATAATAATTGCTAATGAAGCCCCACATTTTATCAGTAAGTAGTTCTAAAGTTAATGATATACTGTCCTCTAAAAGTGTCACGTGTTTCCATGCCCCTAAATTATTCTCTCTATCATGAGAGGTGTTCTAGGTGTGATCTTGTCTACATCACCTGTGATGCCTAGATAATGAGGTCACTGTGACAGTCAGAGATACTTGTCATTGTGCCTGTGGAATAATTACTGACCAATACATGTAGTCTTCAAGTTATTGGTCTTGTAGCCTTCAGAACAGATGCACTGGTAGCCCCCCATGTAGTTCTCACAGTGGCCGTTGGAGCAGATGGAGCTTGCTGATCCACACTCGTCCACATCTGAAACAGCATGGCACATATGTGCTGAACAAACACTATGCCTGGCAGGAAAAAGGCAAACATGAATGATGAGTTGAGGTAATAGGTCCTTTTGATCATCTGTACAAGTTGAGCCATCATTTTGACTATCAGTACTGACCTTTACAAGTTGAGCCATCAGGTCCAACTTCATGGCCATCTGGGCAATCACATTCATAGGCTCCGGGGACGTTACGACAGGACCCTCCCAGACACAAGCCTGCATTCTCCTCACACTCATTTATGTCTGGACAAATTGAAAGGTCAAATCATAAATATTCTAGTTACATTAGTCAGCAATTGTTATTTGACCAAAACATAATCTAATAACAATGATTTGTTTATCAAGTTTAATCCTGTTTTCATATGGTTGTACATTGAATTACTGGTAATAAAATATAATTAATTGAAACAGATTTCTAATGTAAAATGGGAATACATTTATATACGGTTATTACAAACTCAAGTGCACCAATATTTTAGTTTGTTATAACTGTAGTTCATAATACATATTTTGACTGAAATACAAATCACATAGGCAGGACAAAAGAAACATTTTGTTATCTCCGTCAGTTCATTATAAACGTGTTCAGTAGAAACATAGTTTACTCTACACAAGAATTTCAAGTATGATCAAAGATACTAAACTGATACAGAAGTAGATGAGACAGTTCAAGATGTCTGTTTCAATAAACCTTGGTAATTTACTTAGTGACTGACAGAAACACCTGCCCTGTTTGACAGAAACTCACCAACACACATCTGGTTCATCATGACACCCCTGAAGCCCTCAGCACACTCACACCGGAATGTCCCCGGCATGTTGATACACTCCCCTAAACCACAGATCTCCACGGATGATATCAGGCACTCGTTGATATCTGGAATCAGGAACAACAAGAACATGCAAATGTAGTATAGATCGGAAATGATATGCCATGACTAGATTTGTTTCAATAAAATCCCATCAACTACCTGAAACTGATGCAGCAGGGGAAAGTTGCTCCATTTGGTTTCAGCACTACACTACTACTCTGCTCCTCACCAGTGCAGGGGCGGTTGGGTAGCCTAGTGGTTATAGCGTCTGCTCGTCACGCCGAAGACCCGGGTAAGATTGCCTACCTGTACATGGGTACAATGTGTAAAGCCTATTTCTGGTGTCCCCCGCCATGATATTGCTGGAATATTGCTAAAAGCATCGTAAAACCATGCTCATTCACTCTGTCACTCACCAGTGCAGTTGAATCCTGTGTCATCCTTGGCAAAGCCAGGGTTGCAGGTACAGACGAAACTTCCCATCACGTTGCGACACTTTCCATTCAGACACATACCAGGAAACATCCTGCACTCATTGATATCTGAAACACACCAAACAGATGCAAAAGTGATCAACACTTAAAAAGGATGCATTACTAAAACAACAGAATCTCCTGATGCACATTTCTTGAAGCAGCAGGATTCCTATTCACCAAGAGGCTACATACTGACATATCTTCAAGGTAATGAAATAGAGGGTGAACCACACCTGATCATCATTACTTCCTTGTCTAGTGTTGATATTACTGTAAATGCTAGATAGAGTCACATGCTATTTAATATAACTTGATGGAATTGTTTGTTGATATAAACAAATAATCCACAATAAGATATTTATTTTCTTGCTTTTGGATTTCAGTGAAAATAGACTGTACAATGTAATGATATTTCTGTCTTTAATTATCTGAAAACTGCCTCCATCAGAAGTAGGGCATACAATCTCTGATGCAGTGTGTAATGTGGACTTGGTACTTGAATGTCGGACACACAGTGTTTATGTGGGGACATGCCACGCCATTGATTGTCATGATTGTTTTCTTTAATGTCATGTACCACTGTACCATCTTTCATAATGTTACAAGACAGTTTTGTTGTCATATAAAATTGATAAATTTGTGTGGTCCTTCAGTCCAGATACTAGTCTGTGAGACAAACTCTGAAACAAACATACCCAATACAGCCCATGTGATGAAAGAATATGTGGCCAGATTTTCTCAGTTTCAGGAACATGAAAAAACTCTCTTGGCTCACTTTTTATATATTTTATGAAAATACTTTAGGAACCGTTTTCCTGTGAAATATGTTTGGGAGACTAGATGTTAGTCTATGCAGAGACCTGTTATCAAAAAAAGCTATTGAGGTATGATTGTGAGCAACTTGTATTTAACTCATGGTATCTACTTCTGCCATAGAATACATCATTCTAGTGACCTACCTGTTGGTTTGTCGGGATCAGGATGCATCCCCGTTCCTCCATTACACAGCTCTTCATACTCATCTGCAATGTACACATCAACTTGATAAGGAGTCAAGTCATCACAAATGCCCCGTGCCAACCACATGTTCCCCATACTGAATCCTCCCATGCCATCACCCATACCAAATGTCAATGTGATCCCCACACAGTACCCATCTAAGCCATCAAGTCATCACACATACCACCTGTCACCCACCTGATCCCTACAGTGTATCCAGCTAAGCCATCATCAAGCCATCACACATACCACCTGTCACCCACCTGATCCCCACACAATACCCAGCTAAGCCATCATCAAACCATCACACATACCACCTGTCACCCACCTGATCCCCACACTGTACCCATCCAAGCCATCAAGCCATCACACATATCACCTGTCACCCACCTGATCTCCACACTGTACCCATCCAAGCCATCAAGCCATCAAACATACCACCTGTCACCCACCTGATCTCCACACTGTACCCATCCAAGTCATCAAGCCATCAAACATACCACCTGTCACCCACCTGATCTCCACACTGTACCCATCCAAGCCATCACACATATCACCTGTCACCCACCTGATCCCCACACTGTACCCATCCAAGCCATCAAGCCATCACACATACCACCTGTCACCCACCTGATCTCCACACTGTACCCATCCAAGTCATCAAGCCATCAAACATACCACCTGTCACCCACCTGATCCCCACACTGTACCCATCCAAGCCATCAAACATACCACCTGTCACCCACCTGATCCCCACACTGTACCCATCCAAGCCATCAAACATACCACCTGTCACCCACCTGATCCCCACACTGTACCCATCCAAGCCATCACACATACCACCTGTCACCCACCTGATCCCCACACTGTACCCATCCAAGCCATCAAACATACCACCTGTCACCCACCTGATCCCCACACTGTACCCATCCAAGCCATCAAGCCATCACACATACCACCTGTCACCCACCTGATCCCCACACTGTACCCATCCAAGTCATCAAGCCATCACACATACCACCTGTCACCCACCTGATCCCCACACTGTACCCATCCAAGTCATCACACATACCACCTGTCACCCACCTGATCTCCACACTGTACCCATCCAAGTCATCAAGCCATCACACATACCACCTGTCACCCACCTGATCCCCACTCTGTACCCATCCAAGCCATCAAACATACCACCTGTCACCTACCTGATCAAGCCCACACCTGTACCACCATCCAAGCCATCAAACACACCTGTCACCCCTGATCCAACTGTACCCATCAAGCCATCACATACCACCTGTCACCCACCTGATCCCCACACTGTACCCATCCAAGCCATCAAACATACCACCTGTCACCCACCTGATCCCCACACTGTACCCATCCAAGCCATCAAACATACCACCTGTCACCCACCTGATCCCCACACTGTACCCATCCAAGCCATCAAGCCATCACACATACCACCTATCACCCACCTAATCCCTACACTGTACCCATCCAAGCCATCAAGCCATCACACATACCACCTGTCACCCACCTGATCCCCACACTGTACCCATCCAAGTCATCAAGTCATCACACATACCACCTGTCACTCACTTGTTCCCTTCCGTGGGCATGCTTCACAGCTCTCTCCCCAAGCTCTTCCCATGGTGCAGCAGCACATGTGTTTGTTAAACAGACCCATCATTTCACGGGCACAGTAACCTCTGTTGTAATCCAAGTAACACTGAGCCTTCCTGTTGTCTGTAAGTTCACAATAACACTACATATAAAAAATGGAATAAATTGAAAGCAATTGATTTTAATTATTTTTTACCTGAATCAGGCTTAAAGGCATTAATATATTGAATAAGATTTAAAGTCATAAGCCGTTGAATGGTCTAATCAAAATTCAATTCATGATACATAGATAGAATAGATACATACTTGCAGCAGCTGAATATTTGAATATTGATAACGTAGGTCGTGCTAGGCGCTGCATCCTCATTCCTCACCTACACATCTGCGTCCAGTAGCGTCCAGGTCAAGGCCAGCTGGACACGTACACTTGAAGGAACCCTGGGTATTGACACACTCGCCGCCACTCTTACAGATGTTTGGGATCACCTCACACTCATTTACATCTGTCACAGCACATGTAATCATTTAAACCAACACAAGGCAGAAACACAAAATTATGCATTGCAAAAACTTGAATATAGGTGTGTTCGAATCCTGGATGGGTCTCAACCCAACAAAAGTACAGTGGAAACCACCTAAGTAAAGACCGCTTAACTAAACAGACCTGATAAGTAAACACTTTTCTTTGGTCCCGGCAAATTTCTTCATTAATTATCACTATTACTCGGATAAGTAAACAAACTAAACGTCTTCTCACGGTCCCTGGAAGTAAATTACTTAACAAAAGAGACTGGATAACTAAATTAGCGATCACCACATAATCCGACATGAGGGGCAGTCGTGTCAGTCTCCAGTCAAACAAACATCCTACTTACAGCTCGCTGGCGTCAAGCAGTTGACAATACACTGACAACTGGAGGCCAGCCCTGATTAGTTGTTCATTGTTACATATGTATACATATACATGCATATGGTTGTCATTTGCAGGTTTTGATGAGTTTGGATAAGTAAAATACCTGATAAGTAAACAATTTTGGCGAGTCCCTTGCAATTTTACTTATCAGGTTTCCACTGTACTAGAATCCGTACTTTACTGAGAAAGTGCAATCCCAAATATAACTTGTGTTAAAAAACATGAAAGGTCTACAATATCACTTCTGAAGATGTTTATGATGATCAAAGACTATGATGATATAACAGTACACATGTACTAGAGAGACCCCACTATTCCATATTTCAATAAGCACACCTTCGTCTCTGATTGACACATGATAAAGCCTCATGCACTCAACATTTGACCACTGACCGAAAAGTGCGGGTGAACTATTGAAGTTTATTAATCTGTACATCTGTGACAATAAAGAATTAAACAAAGCACAAAAGAATTGAAATGACACCCATAAATCAGCGTTATTGGAGATTCACCAGTGGTGAAATATCAGATTAGATGATGTGTTTACCGGTTCTCGTCATCAAACACAGGTATCTCACTTCTGAGCAACATAATCCTCCAGTAAGAATGTCTTGATTTATTGATTTGAGGCAGTTATCATGGAATAATTATTCATACGAAAATTCATTATTCATTATATCCACTACAAGCGATATATTAGGATTCAGATATTAGGAAAATATAAATATAGAATATTAGTTTCATCATGTATCAGTAATAGCTTAGAGAAAGACTCCAGTCAAAAGTAGTAAAACTCATCTCACAGACATACTATTGAAAAAGGTATAAGTTACGGCTGCACAATTTCACAGATGTTCAAGATAAATCCTAGCCTAAGGTTTCAAGGACTCAAACCTTTCAGTAAGACAAAGTAATGTCTAGACGATTTAATGAACTGCTTTGAAAAAGTAAACATGTCATCACCTCCATTAAAATATATTGTGCAAACACTTTAAATTAGGGTCATTAAGCCATCTATTGTAACACCATAACCATCCAAGGAACATGTCAGCACAATTAGTGCCAGTTAAATTAGGAAGTTTCCAGGACATGTGTCAACACAATAAGTGCCAGTTGAAATATGATTAGCAGGATTAACTACTCTCCCTGTCAGATCATTTCATTTGTAGGACACACCTCATTTTGTATATTCTGTACTTCATTGGTTATTGTAGGTTACATCCATTTTTGTATCAGTCAACGAATCATAATCTCTTCCTTGTTTCAGTTTTAGATAAATAGTCACCAACTCCGATTTCGTCAGTAGGGTTTAGACTCCCAACACAGGTCATCTCTAACCCTGAGCCCAGAGGGTTGTACCGACTCTCTGTGGCCACCCCATGTTACTTTTGTTCTTGTTAATAAAATTGTAATTAGCTTCTTGTGACTTGGACTCTTTGCTGAGTTAATTCCCCCAAGAAGACCAGCACGCCAATTAGATAAGGGGTTTCACCGGAACCCTCACTTGGACCCAAGACCCCCTATCATAATACAGTTTACAAATGCCTGTTTTATTTCATATGTGTACATTCCATGGTATTTGTGATCTTCAAAAGATCTAGTTGTCAGTTTGCTTTCCAGACTGGTCACCTGTCTTCCAACAATCCATCCATCAACTGATTTAATCACCAGCACATGGATTTGGAGATGTTGTATTTATTCTCCCTATATTGAAAATAATTTTACTTGGTAACATTGGTAACACAAATCTTCACACATATGTCCCTTGATTGTCAGTACTGCAGTAATTCACCACAGATGAGGAAGCTGTATGTATAGGGATGTGTACTCACCACCACAGTTCAACCCATTTGTAAAGGCGTACCCCTTTGGACATCGCAGTCTACCTGGAAAATCACAAAATAGCATGTTACAATTCAATGATGGTGTTACTGGTCTGGGCGTGGTTGTGAACCACCACATCCAACCCATGTTATTTTGTGAGTGAGTTGTGTTTGAACAATATTTCACTTATATCATTGCTTAATGCAGGAGAAAAGTCAGTCAGGTCTCCTGCAGTTACTTCTTCGGTGAAACTCACGAGCACAGGTATAATGCTGACAAAACATCAATCACACAATCATCGTTTTCTGGCATGTCCAAGGGAGGCAACCCTGTACAGTGAATTGTGGCATCTCACCTTTTAGATAAGGGTAGATTTTAGCTTATTTGCTGGCATCAGAATATACTGCTTTAGCACTGAAGGCAAATGCAAACTTAAATTTTCACACACAAACAAAACAATATTCAGCATAAGCACATCATTTGAGTGGTTTATTAAGTGGTTGATTGAGTGGTTGATTGATTGAGTGGTTGATTGATTGATTGATTGAGTGGTTGTTTGATTGATTGCATATTTAATTCAGCTCTGCATTCCAAAGTGTTTCCTGCTTTAAACACATATGGGGGCGGTGTGGTTGCCCAGTGGTTAAAGTGTTCGCTCGTCACGCTGAAGGCGCGGGTTCGATTCCCCACATGGAACATTGTGTGAAGCCCATTTCTGGTGTCCCCCACCGTGATATTACTGGAATATTGCTGAAAGCGGCGTAAAACCCAACTCACTCACTCACTCTGGCGTGTCCAAGGCAGGCAACTCTGTACAGTGAATTGTGACATCGTACATTGCACCATGCATATATCCCATGCTTGTAATAAGTGATAGTGTTACTAAGTCAATTGGTTGCAATGTCATCTGGGTAGTTGCAGACTTATTGTATGTACTGATAACATAAAGAAGCTGTGATAATGATTTATGATACTGATACAGATATAATTCAGTATAAACGTACACAGTGCACTTTACTGAGTATCTCATACCCATGTCCCTTGACTGCAGGAAACAGTAAATGGAATACAATGGCTTCTATTTTTTGTGTCACTGGTTATCAGTTTCGCTTCTTTAAGAAAAGGTTGTCGTTTATTTTAGTTCTGTTATACAACTGGATCTGGAAATTGTCTATGAGTCGACTTCATTCTCACAATCAGCCATTTCAGTTTGTGTATGCTACATATATTGAGTCAGTGGTACATGGCAGGAACTGGAAAAGATTTTATGTAATTATAGGCGCTTCTGATTTGACCCCAATGTCCATGACAATATGTCCCTGTGATGTAAGTATGTTCTTACCTTCAGATGGGCACTGCTCGCAGGGACTTCCCCAGGCCTTCCCCGATGGTACCACAGCATTCCGACTTCAGCATCATGGTGTTGATGCTGCTCTCACATACACCATTCCTGTACTTCTGCCAGCACGCTCCACGCCGGTTGTCTGTATACAGGAACAAGCAGAGTGACACAGGTAACTGACAGTGGAGATCAAATACATCACACACAAACAAAGCTACATTACTGAACAGTCATAAAGTGCTCTGCATCTGACTGCATGATTACATATGAGAGCTGATTCATGGTTTTTATGTCCATTGTAACATGGTGTCATTGCAAATAAGTTGATATCAAATATATTTTCAATAGGTTTCTGGGCCCTTAAAATCAATAAGTAATAAATACATGTGCTCAGCTAAACATTGCCAAAAAAACTCCAAACTGCCAGCAGCCTTTGAGTGTGAGTTTATATGTTTGTGAAATTAAGAAATGAAAATTTAATGCAGATATTTGTTTTATCAACAATTTGGTCTGGGTGTCATTGTACAAAGCAAGCACATTATGTTTCAAGGGGACATTGTGTCATTGATACAGATATGTTGTATGTTTTCACCAGACAAATCATTATACCCAGCTTGTACAACTGCTCTCACCAATACAGATCCTCTTGGTGGAATCCAGCATTGTCCCCGGCCTGCTGCATTCACACCTGAAGCTCCCTGCAGTGTTGATACAGTCACCCCCAACACATGGGGAGCTTTCACACTCATTGATATCTGAAACATCAAACATATAATAGGTGGATTTGTACAGCAGCATTTAGACATTACTGTAGAAGTCATCATGAAACATCTACTCAGACAGATACTTAACACCCTAGCATGGTTTCTGCTTGGAGACAGGAAAGTATATGCACTATAGTTTTAAGCTACTACTAACCCACTAATAATATCAGGATCAATTAGACATTAAAATCTCCACACTTCAACCAGTTTAGGGACTTGAGTACTTAATCCTAATGTACATGCCTAATGTCTGCATAATCACCCAATGTAGGCTGTCCATAATTGAAGACATTGGGTGCAATGTTTTATGAGATATTATGTTAACAAGAGTTTGAAAAAAGGTCAAAGTGTCATGGTGACCTTGAAGATAAGGTCAAGGTCATCCAAATCAACTGGTGTCTGCATAATCACCCAATGTAGGCTGTCACCAAATTTGAAGACATTGGGTATAACAGTCCATGAGATTTCGTGTTAACAAGAGTTTGAAAAGTGGTCAAAGTGTTATGGTGACCTTGAACATAAGGTCATGGTCACCCAATTCAACTGGTGTCTGCATAGTGACCCGATGTAGGCTGTCACCAAATTTGAAGACATTGGGTAAAACAGTTCATGAGATATCACGTTCAACAAGAATCAAGAATCGGGATGTATGTCAAGCGGATGGACGCCACTGAATACATAGTCCCCTGTTCCGCGGTGCGGCTGGGGACAACAATGTTCCTGACAATGCTCATTAAACAAAGAACTGCCTTGCGACTGACCTTCACACATTCTTGTGCCATGATTGAAGCGGAGTCCCTCTGGACAGATGCACCGGTAGCTTCCTGGCACATTCCTGCACTGTCCCCCATCACACAGCATCAAGTTGATGTCACACTCGTTTATGTCTACGACACAAGAACACAAGTATTTAATAACTTCACATATTTGTACACAACATTGAGGTTTTCAACCTGCTTGTATCTTTACAAACATTTAACCCAAGGATTAATTCTGTTGGGATATTTTCAACAGCCTGGTCTATTAAAGACACTTCCAAGGATTGATTCTATGGAGATAATTTCAACAGGTTGTCCTAAACAGAAAAATTTGCAAAATGTTTCAACGTAAAAGAATATATTCTGACCGACAAAGACATAATTACAACATTTCAATCCCACAGGATATAGTCGACATCTTCACTTAAACACAAAATGTTAGTCTTTCAACCATGCCGGATATATTTCACATCTTCACTTACATAGTATTTCAACCTACAGATTATATTGTACAATATGACCTACCTGAACATTCCCTGCCTGAGGCATCAGGTCTGTAGCCATCATTACAGATACACCTGTAGCCCCCATCCAGGTCTTCACATGCCCCGTTCTGGCACATGTCTGGCCGTAACTTACACTCATTGATGTCTGGAAACCAAGGAAACAAGGCCATGACGTATAGTGCAACACCTGGTTCAGGAGATTCAACTGAACAACAGGCTACTGATGTCAGCATTATTTAAATCATGTCACAAGATGTTGAAATATTTACTGAAAAGGGAACCATAAACACTGTGGCTAACGTTAACCACTTCTTAGTAACTGCAACAGATTTTATTGCTGAAGGATATCTGTTGAGAGGATAGTTCATGCTTGCTCCAGAAAATCCGAGGAAGAATGGTTTCTGTCAGTCTGGAACATGTCCTCAGTGATGGCAGAAGGGAAGATATTTCAGATAATCATTTTCTGAGAACCTACAAACATTTATTATGATTACCAAACCATTGTGTGTCAATTTACTGTCACTCACTCTTGCCGTCGTGATCCCTGCCCTTCCCATGGGTACACAGTTCGATGAACTTTGGGTCCATCATTGTGGGGCATCTCTCACAGTTTTGTCCCCACGCCAGGGAGCCGGCCAGGCCACAGCAACACATGGACTTGGTCACCAGCACAGAGTAGGGGTTCAAGCAGCGACCATTCCGCACCTCGGGGTAGCACATGTTCCTCCTTGTATCTGAAGAATACCACGTTGATAAATCACAGAATATGTAGATATGTAAACTCTTTGTCTAGACTATATCTTGAGGCTTTTATGGAGTCTATGTAACTAAAAGACTGAATATGATAACATTGTACCTTTGGGATTTTTTATAGGCCTTCTCATGTGTAGTTTTCTTAAACAGGGTCAGTGTTGGAAATGAAAATTAGGGATTAATTGTTTTCTTTGAGTCCTTGAGGTTTTGTTCATTAGAGAGAGAGCTATAGTGACAAATTGTATGGTTCTTTTCCATTACTATTTGCCTGCTTTACAATTATGTTTCTTTGCACAGAATGTCAGCGAGTTGGTCTCCTACCATGTCATACTAAAAGACATACATTACGAGTATTATCAGTATACCAGTATACCACAATATGCTTGTCAAACCACATGTATTGCAATATCTTTTGTGAGAACCGATATATGGAGTACAAAAATCACACCACTGAAATACAGAAGTTGGTGTGTTGAGAAAGCTGGAAGTATAGAAGTAGAAGTAGATACCTCTGCAGGTCCTCCTGTCTTCTCCCAGGGTGAATCCCTTGGGACACTCACAGCGGAAGCTGCCCTGATTGTTGATACACTGACCATTCACACACTGGTCAGGGCCAAGTGAGCACTCGTTCACATCTAGGGATGAAATAAAAAGGTCAAAGTATTATCCTTGAGATGACAAACTGTTCTATTTTACAGATTTAGCAAAAAATGCTGGCACATTTTCACATATCCCCATATTTATATATACAATTGTCATATACAACACACAGTTCCCAAAACAGTTAAGTGGAAAGAGAATGGAATGGGGTTGAACTCACTCACCTGTACAGACCTCCCTGCTGGGATCTAAGATATAGCCAGGGTTGCACACACTCACCTGTACAGACCTCCCTGCTTGGATCTAAGATATAGCCAGGGTTGCACACACTCACCTATACAGACCTCCCTGCTGGGACCTAAGATATAGCCAGGGTTGCACACACTCACCTATACAGACCTCCCTACTGGGACCTAAGATATAGCCAGGGTTGCACACACTCACCTATACAGACCTCCCTGCTTGGACCTAAGATATAGCCAGGGTTGCACACACTCACCTGTACAGACCTCCCTGCTTGGATCTAAGATATAGCCAGGGTTGCACACATTCACCTATACAGACCTCCCTACTGGGACCTAAGATATAGCCAGGGTTGCACACACTCACCTATACAGATCTCCCTGCTGGGACCTAAGATATAGCCAGGGTTGCACACACTCACCTGTACAGACCTCCCTGCTTGGATCTAAGATATAGCCAGGGTTGCACACACTCACCTGTACAGACCTCCCTGCTGGGATCTAAGATATAGCCAGGGTTGCACACACTCACCTGTACAGACCTCCCTGCTTGGATCTAAGATATAGCCAGGGTTGCACACACACTCACCTGTACAGGCCTGCTTGGATCTAAGATATAGCCAGGGTTGCACACACACACTCACCTATACAGACCTCCCTGCTTGGACCTAAGATATAGCCAGGGTTGCACACACTCACCTGTACAGACCTCCCTGCTTGGACCTAAGATATAGCCAGGGTTGCACACACTCACCTGTACAGACCTCCCTGCTTGGACCTAAGATATAGCCAGGGTTGCACACACTCACCTGTACAGACCTCCCTGCTGGGACCTAAGATATAGCCAGGGTTGCACACACTCACGTGTACAGACCTCCCTACTGGGACCTAAGATATAGCCAGGGTTGCACACACTCACCTATACAGACCTCCCTGCTTGGACCTAAGATATAGCCAGGGTTGCACACACTCACCTGTACAGACCTCCCTGCTTGGACCTAAGATATAGCCAGGGTTGCACACACTCACCAATACAGACCTCCCTACTGGGGCCTAAGATATAGCCAGGGTTGCACACACTCACCTGTACAGACCTCCCTGCTTGGACCTGAGATATAGCCAGGGTTGCACACACTCACCTATACAGACCTCCCTGCTGGGACCTAAGATATAGCCAGGGTTGCACACACACTTGAAACTGCCATCCATGTTTATACAGTTGCCATTGGTGCACATTCCTGTTGTCTTACATTCATCATAATCTGCAAAGACAAGAACAAAATCAAAGTGATGACACAAGACTTCACTAAGCATATTCATTAAAAGTACATAGATGGAGTACAATCATGCCTGACACTGAGGCCTTCAGCAACCATGTCATAGTCCACTTGGTTGTGTGTAGACATGGACTGAAAACCTGCTTCAGAATGCATGGAGACTTAGTCATTACCTACATTGGACAGACTCCTATAAGATCCCTATGAATCTACTGAGATGACTGAGTGTAGATTTACATGACTTTATACAGTTTTTCAGCTTTATCATAACAAGGGACATTGAGGAACAGCTTCACACATTCAGCATGAATTGAACCAGTCTTCACATTCCTGTTGAAGATATGTATGAATTAATTTTCAAAAATAAAATCAACCTTTCACCAAATATATATGCCATACCTGCACTTTTTCAGTTCAGATGTTGTCAACATTGATATCTCTGCCTGCCTTAACTCACCTAGACAGAAAGCACCATCTGGTGACAGCCGATATCCAGGTGAACATTCACAGCGATAGCTGCCATCAGTATTAACACAGCGACCATTCCTGCACAGTCGACCATTTTCCGTACATTCATTAATGTCTGTAATACAAAGAGTTTTCTTTAATAAGAGGTAAACACATGTATGTAAGAAAACTGTGCTCTCATCATTCACCAGTGACCATACATAATTTGACAGGAGAAAACTTCATTCCAAATATGATTTTCAAGCCCTACAATACGTTTAATTCTCATTGACTGTATATATGTAGATCTAAACCTCCTCAGAGACTGGTTTTCAGACCCAAGTATAAAACTTAAATTACTAATATAAATTCAACATTTTCTCATTTCTCAGAATTAAAAATAATAAGAACATTAAAAAAGTTTTAACAATATCATGCTTTATTTTAAACAACTCTTCCCAAGGCAATCCGAGATGAATCCCTGACATTGTTTTCACATGGTATCCTAGAAAACATAACACATAGACAGTTGACCAAGTTACATGACAGGTCTATCATTGTGTTAATAATGGTAAAGCTATCATTTAAATTCATATTAAAAACCTCTTGTTTCTACAGATAATGTTTACAAATACCATAGCAGACTTGTTGGTTTGGTGACTGTTTAAACCCTGCATTACAGCGGCACTTGTATGATCCATCCATGTTGAAGCAGACTCCATTGGGGCACATACCCTCCTCAGCACATTCATTCATGTCTGAAACACAAGTCAGCAAACATACCATCAATAAATATATCCTATTTCTAGTTCAAAGGGTGTTTGGCAAGCTGAAATTCGACTTTGGGGTGTAAGGAGTAAAATGCATGCATTATTCCAAATATACAACCTTTATGATACAATAACATAGTAACCTCTCACTTCATCAAATATTTTATTACAAAACACAATATTTTCAAATCAAGATTAGCTAATAGACATCATAGCATTTTACATAAAAAAAGATTTCGAAATTTCATATAATTTAGATAAATACAACTCAAAGATAAATTGTAGTGTACCATCATTTCCACAATGATGGTCTTAATGCCATATGCTTTTTAGTTGAAGTTGCTCTCTATTTAGTATATTTCATATTCTCTGTACATCTGGAAGATCATTATCAAAATTCCAGGAAATGTCTTTACGTTGCTAAGTGGACTATTCACTGTATGTTGACTTTCTATGAGTTGATATGATGAGTGCTCCTTTTGGCAACGGAAATTTCTTATTTGAATGTTATGTGGCAGTATAAATATTATCAACAAAATGCAAGTGACTGACAACTACCCTCCTTGTTGCTTACACCGAAAGCTCTGGACTTTGGCATGATAAACTACATAAGAATTGATAAAATGAGCAAAACATGTCAATTGCTCAAAATTTAAAATGTAATGTTGAGATAATCTGTGACCAAACTTTATGAATTGCCACATGTGTACTGTGGTTATCAATACCTCCACAATAAATCACTGGCTCATGTTAAAATGTTACAAATGATCTCCCTAAAAATGATTGCACTCATGAGGTGATGACCATATGTGTGTGTAGCTGCTTGTATTATCCCCAACAAATGAAGGTGTTGTACTGCTATCCCACTGAGACACCGTCATGGTTTAACATGTATATTCCACACAGGCACATTACACGGACGCAAGGTTACTAGTCCTTGTTTTAAACTCTTAATGTTGAGTATCAGGCAGAAAGGAGCAAAAGTTCATTGTTCATTTGGTGTGATGCAGCCAGGATTCAACCACCTACCGTCTGGAGTCTGGTACTAGCTATGACCTTCACAGGCCAGTGGGTTCATGCTGTCCCTGAATCTTCATAGGGTGTAACGGAACCTTTGAGAAGAGTGAGTGAATGATTTGCAATATGATTTGATTACCTGTGCAATATGAGCCTGTCTTTGAGAGTACAAAGCCTGGACTACATTCACAGGTGTAGCTTCCCTGGGTGTTGACACAGCGGCCATTGCGACAGATTCCCTGCTGCTCACATTCATCAATATCTGTAGAAAAGGGGATACATTCATCAATATCTGTAGAAATGGGGAGACATTCACGTTAACAAAAGTCATCAGTGATTATATGTCTTATATTTGTTCATCCAAACAATGAGTTTTGGCAACCACATGAGGTGATCTGCCTGGGCCATGTTCTGCTACATGTTTCTATGATTGAACAACCTGGATGAAACAGGTTTTGTTGGTATTTCCTGAAATCTGAAATATTTTGGCACATTATCCTTTCTTCACTAGAGAAAGTGGTTGAAATCCACAATCCATAGTTTGGCTCAGACTTTAGTTTTGAAGATATGTAAAACTATCAAGATACAAGGACTACACAACAAACTACTCCTATAACAGTTACATGCTGAATATAGATCAAGTGAAGTTGACATAGCTGGAAGAATGTGACATTCTAAGTAGGGCTGCCATTAGAAATATGCTTAGTATTCTATCCTAGTTATGAAATAGAACAACATACCTGTATATTTTTTCAATTTTATTATATGAGCTGTTAAAAGTGATCACTTTGTACTGCGTTCCTTTGTAGCCCAAAATATTGGAGATTCCTTATATTTAGTATTGTTATTGACGATTTATGCTTTCACCTGATTAGAAACATTACCCTAATGTCAGTGATTCTGTAATATGTAATGAAACTGAGATGAGTCATCCTATCCTCCCAGACAGCTAGCGATATAAATAGAGTTTTCTTTGAATGCAAGACAATTTTTATGTGTAACAAAATTAAAACCAAATATGGTCATCCATCCCTCATGGATGAACACACTCTAAATGATGTTGTTTGTGCCAGAATTAAATTTCAAAGGACTAAAATCCCTCCAAATAGGCTTGAAACTGATCAGCCATATAGCATAACTATCAACAATGATAACTGCAAATGAAAGGAAATATGTTCGTTAATAAGATTCAAACATTTTAGGACAGATCTGTGTCAAATGTGCTCAGATTTTGTGTTATTTTACAAGGAGCTGAAGTCTAATATGTCTAGGACTATAGCACTAAGATATAATTGTATGGCAGGGGTATCGCTTGCATGTCAATGATGTCTTTGAAATAGGAGATATTACAATAGATATATTTTGAAGAGGAAAGTTGAATTTTCTTGGTAATAGTTTTGGAAACTATCCTGGAGATATATACTGACCCGCAATGAAAAGCATAACTGATGTTGATGTGGAATAAAGTGACAAAAAACAAAGGTTTAGATGCAAAATCATTTTCAGTTTATGACATGGGTAATAAGCAATGAATATGGTTTTGAAAAAGTTGAATATCAGCAACTGCGAGTGGTACAGATAAGGTCAAACAAGGTCACCCCTTTAAACATGGTCAGTATCTTGTGTGTCCTCCATTCGCCCTGACACAGGCATTGAGACGATGGGGCAATGAGTCACAGAGGCGAGCAATGAAGGCCATGGGAATGTTCCTCCATTCTTGCTGCAAGGCAAGTGTGAGATCTGCGACGTTGGCTGGCGGTGGCTGACGTCGATAAACACGTCTCCGCAGTTCAACCCACAAAGGCTCAATAAGGTTGAGATCTGGTAAATACGCTGGCCAGTCCATCACATTAATTCCAGTTTGTTGAATGAATTCTTGTGTCACCCTGGCGGCATGAGGACTGGCGTTGTCATGTTGGAATGTTAGTGGACGTCGAGGGCGTTGGTGACGGCGCAGCAAAGGAACCGCTCAGGACTTCAGGACTTCATCCACATAACGCTGTGCAGTCAGATTACCTTGGATGACAAGCAGATTATTCCGGAAACGTGCGTTGATGTCCCCCAAACCATTACATCACACCACCAAATCGATTTCTCTGTCTGACACAAGGGCCTGCATAGTCTGTCTCACAGTCCCTGAACCACATTAATTTCCCTACTGCCAAGCCCTCTCTGCAGTGCTAAATCCTTAAATAAAGCAAGTCTAGATTTCCTCAGGTTCAGGGTCTGTTAACATCTGCATGAAAACTAACTCACTTTGGGGGTCGGGTTACAAAGTAAACATATCTAACTACCATGGCTGGCCAGACCAACATCCTCACCAGTGGTCTGGAATCTTGCCTCACATTTTCATCTGTCAACTCTTAATTACCAAGCACATTGGGTGACATGAAGCTATAGTGGAGGCCTTGTGCACAGTTTCTGGTCTTGAAGAGACAAATCAAGCAAAATCTTGGGGAAAGGTTCCTCCTGAATGTAATGTTGTAAAAAAGTATTGTTTCATTGTCTGACTTGGGTCCCCACATAGTAGCCCAATTGTAAATGCGGTTAAGGATTTAATTGTAATTAAAACAAGGCTTATTTTTTTTATTCCTGATATAAGATTATTGTGTGAAAGGAAAGAGTTCCTTCCGTTCCCCCAACTCTAAACCAAACTCTAAACCTAACCCTAAACCTAGCCCTAACTTAAATTTGGGACTTTTAATCGTTTTGTGTGTTCTCTAGTAATTGTTGCGTTAAGTTTCGTTTATAATTCTAGAATATTTATACATATTATTTGGAATGGGGGAACGGGGGGAACTCTTACCGTGTCAAACTTTGGAGTGTTTTGAGTATCTCTTTTTATCTAATTGCTCAACAGTAAAACATATGGCAGGGACCTAGCACTCATGAAGAGTGAGTGAGTGAGTGCATTTGGGTTTACACCCGCATTCAGTAATATTCCATATATGGCGTCGGTCTGTAAATAAGTCGAGTCTGGACCAGACAATCCAGTGGTCAACAGCATGAGCATCTACGCAATTGGGATACGATGACATGTGTCAACCAAGTCAGCAAGCCTGACCACCCGACCCCTTTAGTCGCCTTCTCATGAAGAACCAAATTCAAAAGGCACAGCATCTCAGAATTAAATCTGTTTACCTTCGTGATGTGATTGCGGCATGCAAGGTGAAATCTAGTGAGGATGATCTTGTATCTAGAAATACCTGGCTGGCCAGACCAACATCCTCACCAGTGGTCTGAATCTCTGGTCTCCCTAGGGCTCCTTTTCAATATAAATGGGCTTGTTTGTTACTATCAAAATTATATATATTCAGAGACTAAGCCTTAGTCTAGGGCCTGCATAATGTTCCCCAAGACGCCTGTAAACACGCTGTCATCCATCCACAATTGACACACAATACCGTGACTCGTCTGAAAAGCCTAAGGAAGAAAAGTGGTTGTTGTTGCGCGCATACTGCTGTGCGAATTGACGTCGGGGTTGGCAGTGATGGGGGCTGAAGAACAGGGCCATGGTATGGATGTCGACAGTTCAGTCCAGCCTGTCTCAGGCAATGAATGACTGTCGATGGGTGAATCCTTCTTCCATGGCTACCAGTCGTTGCTGCTGCTGTTGTTGTTGCTGTTCTGAAGCAATCTCGAAGGTGCGCCAGTCACATCTGTAGATCTTGTCTGGCCATCGTAACTGGAAGTTGTCCTGGTTGAGGGCGGTTGGCAACGCTCCCTCTCATCTGGTGACGACTGACAAGACAGCTAATGGTGGACTGGTTGACATTAAGGCGCCTAGCAACAACATTTTGTGAAATACCGGCTTCAAGCGCGCGGCATGTTTAAGACTTGCTACTGATCTCTCTTTACACATGCATTATATGGGAAAGGCCTCACGAAGTGCACATGCATTTTCATTGTCAGGGCTGCCTTGCTGTGTTTCAACAAAGGATACAAAATGCGTTTTCACGAATGTTTCTGTTTCCTGAAGCATGAAGTGGATTTGAACAACTGTTCCTAATCAAGTCTTGAACATTCATTTCAAATATTCAGTGCATCATTAGTACTTCTCACTTATGTTTCAAAAAATGATCTGATAAAAACCCTTACACGTTTTCATTGCGGGTCAGTATATATCGTAGCTTTCCCCAGTAAACATACAAAACTTTATATATTCCTCAGTTCATAATATCAGTGTTGTCATAGACTAAGTTATCCTGCAAAGTATGTCTTTTGAATTTTATCAAGAATTATCAAAGAGAACTTATGACAAATTAAAACAGGTGGAAAGTGCATCTTCTAGGTATTGCCTCTGTTCAAACATTTGTATGTTTAATGGCCATGGAGGGGCAGTGGAGTAACCTAGTGGTTAATGTGTTTGCTCATCACGGCGAAAACCCAGGTTCGATTTCCCACATGGGTACAATGTGTGAAGCCCATTTCTGGTGTCCCCCGCCGTGATATTGCTGGAATATTGCTAAAAGCAGTGTAAAACTAAACTCACTCACTACTGGGGTCTTGGAAATGAATAATGAACAGATAGCTATCCATTCTTCCAAACCGCAATTTGCCACTATACACATAAAGTTAATGAAACGTATGTGTGAACACTACTTAATAATCTATAGAAAATAAAGAAAGTTTCGAGGAAAGGTTGTGTATATATAAACTCTGCATATTGAAATGATTCCAAAAGAAATATTAAGGTCAAATACTTTTAGCTTGGTGACAGGCCGTCATGTTTACTGCTACTCCATGCCACTATCCAAGATCTGTACACTGTTGCCACTGCTACTGCTGCTGCTGCTGGTAGTTAAAGGGGGACTGATCTCTGACAATCTAACCAGACTGGTTGTGGTCTTTGTTATCATGTTTTTCTTGTGGGTAACTGAATGATATCCCAGAAATCTCGACTGGTTTACAATCTTTGCAGTTTTTAGTATCAGGGTCTTTCCTTACACTGATCAATAAGGATGAAATACAGTCTCATCTTGGAATTAATCAGGAAATGTAGTCATCTTTGTGACCCTTAATATTTCAGTTATATCTCAATTTGGCTTCAAAATAAGCCCATCTATTTTAATAGGGTAACAATTCCAAACATTTTGAATATTGGGATTGAAAGACAACGGAAGTCATTTATTATTTTAAATGCACTTGGGAATTTCATACACAGGTTTAGTCAATCTGTAAAATACATTGACAGATGTTTTGGTTTATTTGTAAAGTGACTGTAAGACCAGGGCATTTAATAGATTGCCTCAGTGAATCATA